GACATGGTCAAAACGATCTGCTGCAGTTCAAACGTCAGAATGGGGAAAAAAGGTGATTTAAGTGACTTTGAACGTGGCATGGTTGTTCTTGTCGGATGGGCTGGTCTGAAAATTTCAGAAACTGTAGATCTACGAGGTATTCACGCACAACCCCCTCTAAGGCTTACAGAGAATGGTCCGCAAAAGAGAAAACATCCAGTGAGAGGCAGTTCTGTGGACTCATATGGTATCTGCATACAACAAAAAAATGATAAGGAATATGACGGCATGGTGGCTCAGTGGTTAGCACAGTTGCCTCACAGCAAGTAGGTCATGGTATAGAATAATCAAATCTAAAAGAACACCGTATAATCTTCATTGTGTAAATAATTACAATTAATATTTAAGCAACAAATAATATAGTATCTTACACACAAATAGTTTAAACTACCTTTAAATGCTCTCGCTGTTACAGACCTCAAAAACACATGCAAATTATAAACTTTCTCTCTCAGGTTAAAATTTGTAATTTTAAAAAGTGCTTCTGGAAAAGCTGTTAGTGATGAGCGCTGGCTCATATGACTGTCATAAAGTCACCTGCTTTTGGTTGTGTTTATTTCGACGTAATTTATAGATGTTAGTACTTAAAAAACATTAGTGCATTAACACGGTCTACATTAATGTAATAATAGGGAGTTAATCTTAAATGTAAAAATATATTTGACAGCGTCTACCATATTGACTCACTTTCCAACCACAGCGGATTGAACAACCAAATACTCTGGCAATTGTTTTACACAGTCACAGTGGATACCCTTCCTTCCGCAAACCAGTACTAGGAAACACCTACAGTACACTTGCATTCACACATGCACTCATGGACTACAGCCAATTTTGTTTACCAAATTCCCCTATATTGCTTGTCTTTAGACTGCGGGGTAAACTGGAGCATCCAGTGGAAACCCACACGAAAACAGGGAGAAGATGCAAACTCCACACAGAAATGCTAACTGGTCCAGCCGGGACTCAAACCGGCAACCATCTTGCTGTGAGGCAACAGTGCTAACCACTGAGCCACCGTGCCGCCCCAATTTAATTATTTATTGCACAAATCAATTTCTCTTTTCTTCTCAGTAATGCACATTTGGGATGTTATGTGTTATATGACATGATTTAGTTAATGCAACTTATGCAATATTTTATTGTGATATACATTACCATTCTTAGTGTGCGTTAATACATTATGTATTTTGAGAGCATATTTTAAATGAGAAAGAATGTTAAATATGTTACGCTATAATAACATTGTCACTTTTCAGTGATTTCAATATATTGCTTACTAAAAAGCAAAAAGTAAACATTGTACTTTCAAGATTGCAACTATTTCACAATGCAGTTATGTTTCTGTCTTTATCCCCATAATATAGTCTAATATTGCACTGATACAATTTATGAAACTGTATGACCATAAACAATGTATTTTATGACTGAAATGATAATACGAAACGATAGACTTTTTATTTTGTTCATGGGATATATATCGTTAAATTGCACAGTGCCTAATTCCAACAGGTCTTTAAACATCAACAGGTCAACAAAATGTGGATCTTTGACAATAACACATAGCTTCTCATAAACGACATTTCAAAATTCCTCCCTTTTCCTTCTTTTATTCCTTTCTAACACGCAATGATTGTCTTGATGTGTGGAAAGCGTATGAAAGCCCCGAGGGAATGTGTGTCATCCAGGAGCCACAGTCCTCTCAGACTTCAGAGCGCTGAGGAATAGGATGCTCTCAGACTGACTGTAATGGAAAGCGATCAGCGAGCTCCCGCTTCATTTCAAGCTACACATGAAACAAAAGAAATCCTCAAAGAAACACAAACAGCCTCAGACGAGGGAAAAAAAAGCCAATTGTGAGTCTTAAGTCTCCTATTAAAAGAATATTATACACGTCTCATTTAATTATCTCCTATCAAATCTTTTTATCAATAATATTATTCTTTTTCTAAGCTCTGCTCAAAACGACAATTTTAAGGTTTTCAATTTAAGACAAACATTTAAGGTTGCAGGGAACTAATTACAATAATTTATGTATCATGATTAATATTAATATTAATAAAGATGATAGTTGCTTATTTAACTATTTTATGAATCATAATATTGCAACAAAATTTATATATTTTTTAATTAGGTTCATCATAGGTCAGACAATAAAATATACATAATATCGATACATAGATATACGCACTGATACAATTTGCCAAACAAGAAATTATCATGAAAACATAATTATACACTAAATAAGTAAATAAAAGGTAAAATACCATATTTATACACAAAGATGTACAAACATAAATTAACATAAAAATAAGAATATTAAAAAGCAAAAAAAAAGAATAAATAAATAAATAAATAAATAAATAAATAAATAAATAAATAAATAAAAAGAAAAGAAAGGGAAAAATGCAGTTAAGATATACTGTAGGTGTCTCCTTAAAAAAAATAGAAAAGGGCTCCAGAATATTTCAAACTATTCTGGCTCTTTTGTTTTATTGCAAACCGAATATTTCTATTTAAAGAGCATATAAGAAATCATAAACCCATTGCCGATAAAAAGGGGGAGCTACTGACTTCCAATTTATAAGAATAAGTCGTCTATCCAGTAAAGTTGCAAAGGCTACACTATCGGCCAGTAATGAATTTAATTCAACATATTCTGGCAGGATTCCAAACAGTGCTGTGAAGCGGTCTGGATCTATTGACAATGACAAAACTGCAGAAAAACACCTAAAGACTTTCCCCCAAAAATCTGACAGTTTCAAACAAGATAAGAAAGTATGCAACAGTGGCTGGTTCAGTTGAACAGCAAAGGCAAGTTGGGTCAAGATCAGGGAAAATTGTATACAGTTTAGTTCTAGACCAGTGTATTCTGTAAACAACCTTGAATTGAATGAGAGTATGCCTAGCGTTTATTGATGATAAATGTATTCATGCAAGAATAAGATCCCAGATATTTTCATCAATCGTTAATTTAGATCCTCCTCTCAAAAAGCCCTCAGTACATGTCGAGGGGGACAGTTTTGTGTTAATAATAGCAAAGATTTTAGAAATAACCGCTTTTTAAAGAGGTATGAAGGTCAAGTATATCATCAAGTATGCTTTTATTTGGCCCAATGGAAAAATTAGAAAACCGCTAATGGCTAAAGTTCCTTAACTAAAAGTATCTAAATAAATGAAAAATGGGTTGGTCAAATTTTTCCTGAAGTTTAGTAAAAGATGCAAAATTATCATCTATGAACAGCTGATGAACAGTTATTAGGACATGTTCCTTTCAGATGTTAAGATGTTAAAGGCCCCGTCCATTAAAGATTGTAGAAAGAATATATTGCAATAAAACATATTTTTAACAAAAATAATTTATACAAATTCAAAACAAACTAGAGATCTTCAAAAATATTAAGCATAAATGAAACCTCAAGGGTGATTTTTTTTTTATTAGGATAAAATACAAAAAGTGAAAACAATAATTTATAATGTTGGTCCACTAAGAAAAGTCAACTAGCTACAATTAAGAAGACTAAAATAGTTAGGTTTGGTTGCAATTTCTCTATCCCCAGTGTTTATGATGTAACACTCGTTCATCACTGAGTAACAGACCTATAATCTGTCGGATTTCACACACTCCTGTACAGCCAGTGCTTAGCAGCCAGCCATCCATGCTGCTCTGCTAAACTGCTTGATTTACAAGTGCCCAAGGGGCAGTTTTGGAGACCAAAGCGTACATTATTAATGGATGTGTAGTGTTGACATAATGCCAGAATCCATACAATATATTCCTGCTAATGAAGCAATTCCGCTCCTATGATAATAAACTGTAAAGGCGAACGTGCAATGAGTAAATAGATTTTCTGAGGCATTCTTTTCTTAGGTAACCAGTTTAAAATACAGGCACAAGAACATAACTTACTCAAAAATGAAAAATCTGTTGTTCACTTGTATTTTATTAAGTACACAAAAGCTGTCATTAAATTAATAGTTTCATACATGTAAAGACTAATTGTTTCCCTTTTTAAATCATAAAAGTATCGTCACTGTGATGAGTATTCATTTAGTTTTGCCTGTATATTTGTTTATTTACTATCAAAGTATCAACATTTGCATTTTATGAACTACTAACAAAAGTTAATCACACTTTGGTTTGTCTGAAGGTTAGTAGATTTACAGCAAATGTACATTTTTGGGCATACCTTTCCCAAAACATCTCCATGTGTGCGATACAAGAAAAAAAATATATATAATTATGAGGTAAATAAATAACCAACTTTTTTATTTTTAGGTGAACTACTTTTTCACACCAAAAAAAAGTCCATTAGGACTGTCTCAAATACATAGTCCAGACCTGAGTCCACACAAAAGTAAAGTTATAGCCATAAAAAATCCACTCGAAAAGTAAAAATCGGTCATGCTTGGCGGAGATGCAGAATATTAAGTTAGTGACTGACAGCCTCAGTCACCATTTGCTCTCACAGAATCATTTTATCCTAATGTTAACCTTATGTTTCACAAAACCGTTTTATTACTGGGTGAACTACTCTTTTACACCGACCAAATCCATCAGGAAGCTTTAAAAACATATTCAGCCCACCCATGAGTGCAAAAATATTTGAGGATGCTCTCGCAAAATATAAACTGCTAGCACACAAACCATAAACAAACCAGCTTCTAGATTCCACTACAGTAGCAGCAGCAGCAGCAGCACTTCAGAGTGTTGTGTTCTGCTTTACGAGAATGCAACACATCGACAATAGTCAAGATGAGAGCTAAACAAGCCCACTCCATCAAAAAAACATTCTATCGCAGCTCCCCGAGATGTGCTGTTTTCTAAGGAGAGCTGGTTTTAGGGGGGGAAGCTGCTGGCACCTGCTGTTAAAACCCACTGCGCACGCTTCTCAGCCTGCAACAAAAGGTCTGCTGATCGCGTTTTTTTCGGCAGCACAGGTGCCGCTGCTGAGACTGACCTGAATGGTGCAGGTATACTCCGTATCGTCCAGCAGTCTGACCGTGCACATGTATTCCCGCTCCAGGTTTCTGACGCTTCCACTCATCAGGCGACTCAACATCATCTCTGCGCTCACGATCAACGCTGGTCTGCGTCCGGGACCAGAACAAAAACCTCCAGCAATGTCACATCCACCAAACTCTCCGGTCGCACAGGTGAAACGCGCTAACCGAAGCCCGCAGCATCTTTATCCGCTGACATGAACGCCGCAGTTGTTCGGGAGAGTGTTTGGGGTTTTGTTTTTGCGAACAGGTTCCTCCAGCGAGCATCCAGGTCCAGATTAAGTCGCTGTGGTTACGAGCAGACAGTAGCAGCCAGCCCGACTGTTGACCATTCACCGCTTGATATTTGAGCAAGGAGGCGGGACCATAAAGGCTGATTGACGCGCCTTCTAGCCAATGGCGTGGTTCTCCAAATAAGGACGCGCTTGAAATGGACAATGAAAGATTGGGGTGCTGCTGCGTGTTTGGAGGTCATTGTTGTCCAATAAGATGCTGGACAAAGGTAGTAGTGAAGCTACGAAGATGAATCGCTGCCTTTTTTGACTGTTTTTGTTTTGTGAGCCTCAAAAACCATGACTGAGTCAATCAAAAGAAAACGCTTTTATTACTGGATAATGGACATTCATTATCAGAAACGTACATGATCGTTCCTAAAATAAAAACATAAATACAGTGAATAAAAAAGTATTTCATCTCAAAAATGTATAAAATGGACTGATGATTAACTTCTGTGAGGTGTGTTTTGTAAAGAAACATGTCGTTCATTTACTTCTCAGATGTTTGTTCTTAATTGAAAACACTTCATAAATGTACAAACCTTGTTAGATTGTCTTTGTCCAGAGCTCAACTGAACCTACAGCTGTAATAGTTTTGTTATGCTAAAAACTGTTATTTAGAAGGGGGAAAAAATCAGAAATAAGAAGTTTAAGTTGTTATCATTCACATCAACTGATTAAAAACACAAAATTATGAATAAATTCTACAACTAAATACTATTTTACAACTGTCCCAATTAATGTTTTTGTCAGCCCTGTCACATTTGTATTAAATTTAACAAAAAACGTGTGCAATACACTTTTAAAAACTATGACTCGGAAGTAACATCATTTGATGGAGAAGCTGACAGTGATCAAAGAGGAGTTCTATTACTGAATTGTATGATTTTTATAGAATGTGCTTTAAGATTTTTCTAGATGAAAATAATCTTAAAGATAAATTGCATTTATTGAATAGGCCTTTATTAACTTCCTCTTTCCAATTTGTTTGCGGAATAGAAATATGTTAAATGTTATTAGATTGCATATTATACATTACTATATTCCATAACATTTACATATCATTAGTATACAATTATTATTATTATTATACAACATTACATTTTAAGTTAAATTACAGTAACATTTTATTATTAGAATGTGCAAGATTTCTCATATAATATAAATTATATAATATAGTAATAACTAAATAATAATAATATCACTTGGTAATTTTCAAAAATATCATATAAGTATTAGAATTACCATATTTTATCCAATACATACAGAAATTAAAACATTTATTTAATAGTTACATAAAAAACAACATGCAATAAAAAGCCATCATTCTTTCAATTTTATTATTGCGCTACACTGTAAAACCCAAAAAGTTAAGGTAACTTAAACAGTTTGTGTAAATCGATAGCAACATATCATTTAAGTTCAAAAACGAATCCTAATGAGTACTGTGAACTTGATCCATTTGAGTAAAAGAAGCTATTTGAACACAGTAAAACCTGATAAATGAAGAGAACTTAAACCAACTGAGTACTGTAAAACCCAAGAAGTTAAGGCAACTCAAATCGTTTGGGGAAACCGATTGCAACAAACCATTTGAGTTATGAAAAAACAACGAATCTATATAAGTACTGTGAACTTGCTCCATTTAAAGTAATGAGGTGTTTCATTAAATCATTGCCTTTAACACTGAGTTGAAAACTTTTTTCAAATGAGTAGAATTAACTTTCAGTAAGTTTTAAGGTAACAACACTCATTTCATTTAATAAAGTTGACTGTTGAGTTTTACAGTGTAGGTTAATGACACAGCAGTAGTTGGTTGCAGCAGATTGATTTTATGGCACAATGTTAAACTTTGGCATCTTTACAGCACTCAAGTACATTAAAAATTAAGGCCACCTCTGAACATAGTGGACAATCTCCAAGTGACCAAAATTCCAAATTGACCTCCAAAGTCTCCAAAATTAAACCAACAATAGCTTTGTGCTGTAAACATAGCTCACCATTCTCAATAAGTGAGGTTTCTATTAAACTAAACAAATGACAAATGACTAAAGTATATGGCTGTTAAACTGTTGCACTTTTTTGTGTTGTCAATTAGCTTGTTTATATAGTTCCTACTGGTGTTTGTGCACCGTTGTGTGTAATGTTTGTATGTTTATAACCACCTACAAGGATAATGGGGGCCGCGAGTCACTGGATTTGTCATTTTGGGGTCACAAGCTGAAAATATATCACGGAACCCCTGATATAACACACAGAGATGGATGGATGGATGGATGGATGGATGGATATAGAGATGGATGGATGGATGGATGGATGGATGGATATAAAGATGGATGGATATAGAGATGGACAGATGAATGGATGGACGGATAGATATAGAGATGGACGGATGGACAGACGGATGGATGGATATAGAGAGAGATGGATGGATGGATGGCTGGATATAGAGATGGATGGATATATATAGATGGATGGATGGATGGATGGATGGATGGATGGATATAGAGAGAGATGGACGGATGGATAAAGAGATGGACGGAAGGATGGATGGACAGATGGAAATAGAGAGAGATAGACGGATGGACATAGTGATGGACAGATAGATGGACGGATAGATATAGAGATGGACGGATGGACAGACGGATGGATGGATATAGAGAGAGATGGATGGATGGCTGGATATAGAGATGGATGGATATATATATAGATGGATGGATGGATGGATGGATGGATATAGAGAGAGATGGACGGATGGATAAAGAGATGGACGGAAGGATGGATGGACAGATGGAAATAGAGAGAGATAGACGGATGGACATAGTGATGGACAGATAGATAGACGGACAGACAGATGGACGGATAGATAGATAGATAGACAGACAGACAGACAGACAGACAGACAGACAGACAGACAGATAGACAGACAGACAGACAAAGTATTCAAACAGACAATAAATTATTATTTTATAAAAATTATTATTTTCAATCATCATATTTTTCATAAAACATCATCAAAATATAATGGTGCCCTATATTTAATTATTAAATCAATACTTAATATGTAATCAATCTCCTGTCCTTACATCTTTTACACAATCCATCCCAAATACACGTCATTCGTATCTGAAATTCAATCACACAAATAATATCTTTAAGTAACACTTTACAGGATAGATCAAAACATTACACTTGATTTGATTGATAAACATTTGGTATAAATATATGAGAACTTCTTCCTTTCATTTCACATTTCACATATACACACACACACACGCACGCACGCACGCACGCACGCACGCACGCACGCACGCATGTATCACAATGCTAATAAGTATGCAAAAGTAAACAATTAATGTAAGAACATCCCTTATCCCCTCAATAACAATGTCTTACTGTGCTGGAAAAGTAAAGGAGAGTCACATTGTAAATTCATTCTCATCATTTTCGTCGTTCTCCTCGGGCTCATTGCTGCTCATGGAGGATGATTTGGCTGAGCTCTGCAGTAGGTTTTCAGCTTTTCGGGTGTAGGGTCGTCCTATTCGAGAATGGTTCTGCTGCTGATGATGATGAGGACGATGATGCTGAGACCATCTAATGTTAGACATGTGGTCCAGAGTGTGGCCTCGAGCATCTTGTCTTCTGTCCACAGTCTTCATCTGGTTGAGTTTGCAGGAGGAGATGAGAGGTCTGTCTATGTCCACCTCTCTGCTCTCTGTCAGACGCTCTTTAGTTTGTGCATGAGTATAGTGCAGTTTAGCCCTGATCACCACAGATCCCTGAAACATTGCAGAGATGTTCAGAAAAACAGTGCTTTTTTTTTTTACTTTTTTTTGAGTTTCAGATATAATGGATTATTAAATGTTAGCGGTTCTTTCAAATTGCAAAGAGCTACAATAACATTAAGTTAATGTATTTTAGTATGTAATAGGTAATACTAAGACAAGCAGAGACATCTGGAAAAAGAAAGAATTCTCAGTTAAGCTTTTAGAATTATAATTTAGATTTTGTAATATTGAGATATTTTGAATTCTCTGTTTTGGAATTCGGTTTATATTTTAGAATTCTCAGGTAAATTTTTAAATTCTGTTTAGTATTTAGAAATCTCTGTTTCAATTTTAACATTTCTTATTTAGATATTAAAATGCTGTTTAGATTTTAGAATTATTCGTTTAAAATTCAGAATGATCAGTTTAGATTTTAGAATTCTCTATTTACATTTTGGAATTCTGTTTAGATTGAAGAATTCACGTTTTAGATTTCAAAATTCTCCAATTTTGTTATACATTTTTTAAGTTTAGAATTTAGAATTGTCAGAATTATCAGTTCAGATTTTAAAATTGTTACTTTAGACTTTATAATTATCAGTTTAGATATTAGAGTTTATATTTTATAATGATCAGTTTAGTTTTTAGAATTGTAAGTTTTTAGAATCGTTAGTTTACATTTAGGATTATCAGTTTAGATTTTAGAATTGGGTGATTAACTCCACTGTGGGGACTAGGAATGCAGCGATTAACCAGTTTCATTATTAACCATGCTTTAGTTCGTCACGGTTAATTAATCGTAAAGGCTTCTCAACATCGCGTTTCAGCACAGAACAAAATTGCAGCTACTAAACAAAGTTATGCAAACTGTGTGCTAGTTTGTACACCGAGACTATAAACCACGCACACTGGATTAACTATGACTGTAAGTAATAACTAAGGCAAGCTCGTGCAAGTTTATTATTTCCAACATGCTGTCGCGCTCAGACTTTTCAGGTGTTTAGATGGGGCTTTTGTGACCGCAGAAACTGCAAACGGCTGAAGTTTGAGGAAGAATCAATGAAAAGTACACAGGTTTGCAACCTCATTTAAAGTTACAAATATTGATCCACCAGCCGAAATCAGTCAAGTGTTTTGGGTGAGAGTGCAGAAAGACTCAGAGTGGATCAGCTGTCTAATTGCCTGAATCTCGATGCGTTGCATTCACTGCGTGTTCAGCACAAATAAAGGCTAAATGTAAAATCTTACTGTTTAGATCTTTGCCAAAGAAGCTCGACTTTACTAAGTTTATACTGAAACTTCGGCTCATGACAAAGAACGGTACTGTGCAGGTGGTCATCGCGAGAATTGCTGCTCTGCACCGCATATATTGGGCCGGCTGACTCACCTGATTTTTCCCACGAAAAAAATTGAAAACAAGACTGAGCATTTAAAATGACACAAACCGAAACCAAAATCTTTAACGAGTAGTAGAAGTGAGACTTTTCTTCCTTTCTTTTGTCCGATGTATCTGGTTATTATATTGACATGCGTATAACAACAAGAGTATAAAGTTTATATTACTTACTGCAATGCTTCATTTTTGTTTGATGCAAACCATAGATTTTTTTCTCATAAAGTAACAGTAGGACTTTTTATAGCACGTAACTCACATTCAAGCACATTCAAGGCAGCATGATAATGCTATTTATTGTTGGTATTATTGTCGTCATCATTATTATTCTACAATTATTAGATATTCATTTTGGAATTATTGCACAAATACCAATGAGTGATAACACAATTAGATAGTTGATTTTGTTATTTTAAAATACAATAAATCTGTAATTTACAATTTGCAGTGATGCTCATTCATTTTTAGTGGGTGCTCCCTTAAGTTAATTTTAAGCCCTGCATTAGACAAACTATTATCTATTTATTAATTCATTGTTCTATCATTTAATAACAGTGTACAATATATTTATGTTTAAATGTCAAATTTTTTTGCTTATTTTTAAGCACAAAGAGAGAAGTGAATTATTTATATTTAATTTAATATTATTTTATGCTGTATTTTGTGGTTACTGAGCAGCAAAAAATAACACTTTAAAATATAAGGGGTTTTCATGTGATTTTCTAAACTATAACTGTTTTAAAATTAATGAATGCATAATAATCGTAATGACCGTTAAACTGTGATTATTTCTCAGACTATAATCGTACAACCAAAATCTATAATCGTTGCATACCTAGTGGGGACCTCTGAAATAGAGACTAAGCTGAAGTAAAATGAATGAATGAATGAATTTTAGAGTTGTCAGTTTGGATTTTAGAATTGTCCGTTTAAATTTTAGAATTATAAGTTTAGATTTTAGAGTTATCAGTTTAGATTTTAGAATTATCCGTTTACATTTTGTAATCGTCGATTTAAAATTTAGGATTATCAGTTTAGATTTTAGAACTGTCCTTTTAGATTTTAGAATTATCAGTTTAGATTTTACTAAAATAGATTTAGATTTTAGAATTAGAAGTTCAGACTTTAGAATTAGAAGTTTAGATTTTAGAATTGTCCATTTACATTTTAGAATTGCCAGTTTAGACTTTAGAATTATGCGTTTAGATTTTCCAATCTTGAGCATATGTTTCAGAATAGAGTTAATATTTTAGAATTATATTTTTGAATCCTGAGTGCATATTCTAGAAATTCAAGTTAATATTTCAGAAATCTATCTTGTCTTTCATAGCTTAATGTCCGCTTACAAGCCCTCTGCAGTTCACAAATTTTTGATTAGGACAAATGTATGTTTTTATGATTTTGAAAAAGAAGAATTTTATTATTATTACTATTATATTTTTTTTACTATTGTTATTATTAGTATTATTATTAATGGTATTTTTAATAAAAGCAATAATGAATAATAACTCCATTTGAAACTACATACAATTAGAAAGCAGTTATTCAAAATTTTTATAAATATATTTTTTAAAAAGTATGTTTAAAAACTGCCACCTTGATAAAAAGAATAATTTTCTTTAAAAAAAATAATAATAAAAGCCCTAAAAAAACTGACCACAAACTTTTGACCGGAAGTGTATATATCAGTATTAAAATAATGTATGTAGATCTATCTGTACATATTTATGTGTGTGTGATTTATGTAAAAAATAATCAATAATTATTCAAATATTGAAAGTTCCACATCACTTATTGTTATTTTATCTGTTTATGATATTCATATAAATCATATGTTCAAGTTCATAGAGATATTTAAGATATATACCAGATCTTTTATCATTATAAATATAAAAAAACAGCTTGAATGTACCTGGAGTCTTTGAAGGCAACATAATCTGAGTGTGCAGTCAGGAGTTTGACCACCGCTCACAAACAAGGAGTCCATTTCCTCTGATCTGCCCGAAGCTGAGAAAATGTCCTGCAGATTCTAAAAACAAAAAAAACCTGTCACTTTTTAAACTGTAATCAATCAAACTGGTGCTGTACAGCCAGTATTCATGTAATTACAAAGTAACTAATTTCAAAGTAACTAGTTACTGTAAACAAAGTACTTTAATCTACTGAAAACGTAAAGCAACTGTCTTCAGCTGGGCAATATGGCAAAAAACACAATCTAGACAATTATTTTCCATATTGAACAATAGTGATATATATTTCAATATAAGTTGTTAAAGATTCCAGATTTAAAAGAGTACCCAACAATGACTGAAGCCACAAAAATTAGAGTGTCCATTAAATGTCATAACATATTTTCAGCCAATACATCTTCGTAGGCTGAAAATTCAGTACATCTCTAATATCAGCACACTTTTAGATTCCCATTGTTGCACATTTCTACTGTGTGATAGGCTCTTAGATCAATATAGAGTAAAAAGTCCAGTTTATCATTGTTATTGACAGAAATTGTACCACAATTCCATATAATATGGTTTATTAGGCCAGACCCATCTCTGTCTACTGTTAATTTTATGTATTTTAATTGCAAATATACTTATAATGTATATTTGACTGTCAATCAATTCAACAGTTCTGTATAAATTAATTCACAGAAGCAGAGTTATTTTATCTTTCTTTAATACAAATATATTTTGCTGAATTTTTTTTCAATCGAAGAAGGTCACATTAAATCAACAAAACTGCACATGCTCAAAAAACTAATTAAATCAGAAATTACTTAATGACAATATATGGAATGTATCTATGAAATATTTTAAAATATCAATTGAATATTATTGAAAAGATTCATGTTTTGACACATTTATTAACTAAATAATTTTATATTTGTTGTAAAAATGCTTCAGTCAATTTTTTAAATAAAGCTAAAAGGCCATGTTGGACATATGTTGTCTATATGCTGAGGTTTGGAAGTCTGTAATTAAATTCCTAAGTGAGTATTTATTTAAATTGTTCAGACCAATAATTTGAAAAATAATTTATATAACTGAATAATTTTTCAATAATTTAAGTAAACGTTACTCTACACAATTTTACACTTTCTTACCGCTAGAGGTCAGCAGACTCACAGTTTTGTTTTAAAGTCAACCTACTTAGGCTAAACTCTTGAACACTACAGTAAACTGCAATAAGAATAAGAAGTCGTCCCGTTATATATTCTGTGTCTTTAGCTAACGTAAAAGAAAAAATCTAAATGTAATGGTGTTGGTTATAGTGCAATGTAAATATTTTCATGTTTACGTGAATAGAATACTTGATTGTGTAGTCAGTGTATGTTTTTATGGGTTAACACATAACATTGTAATTAAATATGTCACTTCAAAAATTATTTTTAGACATACAGTAATTACAAGCAAGTATTTGGTAAAATAAACACATGTATAAATGCATGTATCTACATGAGTGCATTGTATCAAATGTGCATTGTGAATTTTTAAATTAAGAAAAGAATAAGTACAAATGAAAAGTTAATTAGCAAAAAAATTAATAAAATAAATTATTGCCTTATTAGCCTTATATTGGCATTTTTATTAACTCGTCATACACTAATTATCTATTATGTGTTTGTTTGTGTGTGTGTATACACACATAAAAAATCCTCAATGTTAATCAACTGTGATAAAAACATGGAACAAAGATGCAAAATATAACCAGAGAAACAACTTATTAATATTTAGTTGCATTTTTAAAATGTTTATATGTTTATACAAATGTATAAGTGTTCAAGTTTGTTCAGGTTTACTTCTCTAAAAGATATTGCTTGATATACTGTGACTAATATAAAGCGTGACTGTGACTAATATATTGAAATGTATAGTGAACTTCATTTTAATTTCATCACAGTTCAGGATATGCCATTATTCAGAAGGAGTATTTAGGGAAAAGGCAATATGATCATTTTTTTGCAAAATAATCGTAACTGAAATTTGAAACTGGTTTGTACTATACTAAGAATAGCGACTTTGCTTTTAGTATTAGCACAGTATTAAATTGCTGTAGCTGTATTAAGTAGGTTAAGATTTATTGTTTATTTATTGACTTGCTGTTTAATATTTACATCTACTTTAAACTTGTTATTCATTTATTTCGGTGCTAGACAAAGATTAATCGCATCCAAAATAAAAATTTGTTTTGACATACAATATAAAAAGTTGAGCTCAAAATTATTAGCCCCCTGAATTCCCAGCCTGGAAGAACTGAGAAAAACAAAATTGAATTATACGTTTATAATTGTAACTATACGTTTACTTAATGAGGAAATAAAGACAAGTAAAGTTGAAGTCAGAATTATTAGCCCCCATGAAATATTAGCTCACTTGTTTATTTTTGTCCCTAATTTTTGTTTGAAGGATGGAAGATTTTTTTAACACATTTCTAAACATAATAGTTTTAATAACTCATTTCTAATAACTGATTTATTTTACCATTGCCATGATGACAGTAAATAATATTTTACTAGATATTTTAAATATATTTAAAAGAATTAAGCAAATCATTGTATAACAGTGATTTATTCTGTAGACTATCTGAAAAAAATTGCTTAAAGGGGCTAATAATTTTGACCTTAAAATGTTTTTTTTTTTTAATTAAAAGCTGCTTATAATCTAGCCGAAATAAAACAAATAAGACTTTCTGCAGAAGAAAAAATATTATCAGAAATAATAATTATTTGGGAAATGTTTAATAAAAAAAAAAAATCAAAGGGGGGCTAATAACTTCAACTATGTATTTATTCTATATTGTGTGTGTATACATAATTCACACACATACATTAAAACAAAACAATACAAAACTTTTTTTGCATAGATATTTTAACTTATATATAATTGGTTTTATACAAATTAAATAGCTATGCAAATAAAATACATACATATACAGTTGAAGTCAGAATTATGAGCCCCACTGTTTATTTTTAACCCCAGTTTCTGTTTAGCAGAGAGGATTTTTTTCAACACATTTGTAGACATAATAGTTTTAATAACTCATTTCTGATTACCAATTTTATTTTTATTTTTGCCATTATGACAGCACATAATATTTTGATATTTTTCTATGCAGCTTAAAGTGACATTTAAAGGCTTAACTAGGTCAATTAGGTTGACTAGGCGGGTTAGGGTAATTAGGCAAGCAATGGTTTGTTCTGTATCGGAAAAAATATAACTTAAAGGGGCTAATAATTTTGACCTTAAAGTGGTGTTTAAAAAATTAAAAACTGCTTTTACTCTAGCCAAAATAAAACAAATTAAACTTTCTCCAGATGAAAAAAAAATATTAGACATACTGTGAAAATGTCCATGCTCTGTTAAACATCATTTGGGAAATATTTAAAATAGAAAAAAAAAATCTAAGGGGGGCTAATAATTCTGTTTTCAACTGTATGTTTGCCCAGCACAATTTATTTATTTATTTATTTAGAATAAAAAGCCATTCTTTAATGTCATCCAACATGTTTTGTAACGCTTTTCTTTGAATTATCGGTTTTAACTTGATCGCATTTCAAAAGTATCTAATAGGGTAAATAAAACAAACGATACCCAACCCTGTACATGTCCCTTCGAGAGGCTCATTCAAATACGAACCACTATGAACTCAGCCGTCTTCCCTCTTCTGGGCCCTCCTATCCCGACTCTCATATCCCCCCTGGTGTATACGTGTGTATGTGTTTATGTCAGCAAAAGAGGACATGAAAAAGCTGTGACTTACTGGTTCGCTTTCAAGAATGAGAGTGCAGTCCTGGGCCATGGCGCTCGTGTTCCTCACCGTACCAAACACAACCAGGACATTGGAGAACAGCGCAGAGAAATTGAGCTCCACCTGGACACCACTGTGATGAAAGCGCAGAGTCCTTCGACCAGGAAGAACTGAGAAAAACAAAAATGAATAAAACACACAGCTATGTAATTATACATTTACAGGAAACAAAGACAAGTATATGAGGGAGACTATATTTAACAAGCATAACTATTTATATGTGGTGATGTAGTGCTGCTATTTTAAGACTATTTATGGCTGTTCAATTATTTGTTTTTTTATTATGTATATACAACAATAATTCATTACACTGATCCTTTTATCCAGCACATGTTTTACGTAGCGGATGCCCTTCCAGCTGCAGCCCATCACTGGGAAACAGTCATACACACTCATTCACACTCATACACTACAGACAATTTTAGCTAAACTATTTCACCTGTATCGCAAGTCTTTGGACTCTGAGGGAAATCGGAGGAAACCCACGTGAATGCGAGGAGAACATGCAAACTCCACACAGAAACACCAACTGACCCAGCTGAGGCTCAAACCAGTGACCTTCTTGCTGTGAGGCAACAGCACTACCTACTGCGCCACCACGTCACCCCAAATTAACTCATTCATTCATTCATTTTTTTTAGCTTAGTCCCTTTATTAATCCGAGGTGGTCACAGCGGAATAAACCGCCAACTTTTCCAGCACGTTATTACACAGCAGATACCCTTCCAGCCGCAACCCATCACTAGGAACCTAAATTAAATTAAATCAAATAAACTTAACGTATGCACAACACTCTGTACAGGTCAGTGTCCTCACCATATATGGTCTATGTTCCATATACAGAGAAAATTGAAACAAATGTAATTGTAAGGAGGATAATTAAACCATATTGGTAAATGGTGTTTAAAAATAGAGTTTTGTTAAAAGCTTTATTAAAATGGATTTTTGGTGATTGGGTGTTGTGCTGATTTGATAGCTTTAGATATATATATAGGAAATTTAAGACCTGTTTAAATTGATTTATGACCTAAAATACAATATTTCAGTGAATATAAGACTTTATGAGTCCTAAAATTAAGGTTACATTCAAAGTTATTTTTACAAAACAGATGTAAACTTTTAAGCACAACGGAGGGTTTATACGTTCATGAAAAACCTGGAAAAGTCATGAAATTTTGACATGGCATTTTCCAAGCCTGGAAAAGTTTTGGAAAAACAGAAAAGCCCACAAAGTTTTGGAAATGTCAGGGAAAACAGCTATCTGTATACTTGAATATAGATTAGTTGTCTTTACTTCTTGTCTGTCCTTGGCCAATCACATACTCTCACATTATTAAGGCTGATTCATACTTCTGCGTCAAACTCACGCGCATGCTACGGCGTTGACGCATAGCCCTACGCCGTGGCCGTCGGCGTCGCTGACATGCACCTCTCAAAAAATGTAACTACACGTCACAACGACGTGTAGCGCAAGCTCTGTGATTGGTCGGCATGGTAGCGCTGATGAGTCTGGGCGGGAACGAGAGCCGCGTGAATGGCGCGACCCCGATGGAGCGATTGTTTACAAGTGTGGAGTCCTGTGAAGGAGCTCCCGATGGAAAGTTTTGTTTTGTGTTTACCTCATAGTTAAAGTTGTTGCACGTCTGCCGGTTCCTGCCTCAAAATGAGCGAGTTTGAGCCACTTGTACATCCAGGAAGAGCAAAACAGCAGCGAAGAAACTTAACACAGAGGAACATTTACACCTCACTGCCAACTAGCGTTTCAGAAGTGTTAATGCAGACCGACAGAGACAGTGCGCAAAAGTATAAATGCACAGCTACGCGCGTTGCATGCGCCGTGGGTTATGCCGGTCACTTGACGCAGAAGTATAAACCAGGCTTTAGTGTGGTGTAAGCATTATCTAAATCAATTTTACAAAAACATGAATATAAATTAAAACTAAATAGGTTGTTGCATGTTTTACGATATGCTGTAATAAATTTGAACATGCATTGTTTTTCTTTTATCAAAAATATGTAGACATTGCATAAAACATTAGGTCATGAAAATGGACTTGAAAGTCTTAGAAAAATCATGGAAAAGTCATGGAATTTTAGTGGTAAAAATATGTATAAACCCTGGGTAATAATTCATTCTTTTTATTCTCGGCTTAGTCGGCTTTATTAATGAGGGGTCGCCACAGCGGAATGAACCGCCAACCTTTCCAGCACGTTTTACATAGCCCTTCCAGCTGCAACCTATCACTGGGAAACACGCATACACTCTTATTCAGACACATACACTATGGACAATTTAGCCTACCCAATTCACCTGTACCGCATGTCTTTGGACTTGTGGGGAAAACCGGAGCGCCCGAAGGAAATCCACATGAACACGGTGAGAACAAGCAAACTCTACACAGAAATGCCAACTAACTCAGCCGGGGCTCGAACCAGCGACCTTCTTGCTATAAGGCGACAGCACTACCTACTGCGTCAACCGCGTCGCCCCTGGGTATGTATTTGTATATATAACTGTACACATTTTTAAAAGATTAAATTAAACCAACAAAAATATTTCATTAGTTGATGCAAGTTATACACTGAGTTAATAAGGACTAGCAATGGTTGACTTTATTTTCATTAACTAAATGTCAACAAAGATGAATAAATAGTGTAATTAACTTGGAGTTCGTTATTTGTTCATGTGAGTAAATACAGTTTAACTAACATTAACTAAAGGATCCTTATTGTAAAGTGTATAAGAGATTTTAGAAAGACATCTCAGATGACAAATTCTAGATTCAGTTAAAAAATCTGTTAATACCATTAGCCTGTTTCCAATAAGCATCACGCCGGCGGAGCTCCATGGTGTGTCCAGATGTTCGCACAGGATCAGTCAAAGCCCGTGGCTCCATCAGAGTGTGTCTGATCTCCACAACCTGCCTGCCGCGAACCAGTGGGTCCTTTCCCAAATCTGTCGCAGAGTGAAAAATGTCATTATTATAAACTACAAGATACTTTTTTAAAAATTAAAAAAATATATATAAAAAGTTCTCAGCATGCTGTTGCTCTCTTGTTGCCCTTGAGATCAGTGCCCACCATGATAATCAGACACTGAAACATGACTCAGCTAGCAAGCTGTTCATACAACGGGAAGTTAGAAACATTTGAGGAACAAACTAGACGTTTCCTTCCCTAAAAACAAATGAAAGTAAAATAGCAATTCACACTACGCCGAATCATCAGCCAGTTCTGCTATCAAAAAGAAGCAGCTGGCAGAAACACTGTAAACTCTGAAAAAGTTTTAGCATGTTACTAGCAAATTTGGCATGTTTTACACAATGTTAACATAAATTATTCTATTATTCGAGTTATTCTAGAATGCTAAAACACTGCTAAAATAAATTAGCATGTTAAATGTTTAACATCTTGCAAGCACATGCATTAACATCTTGTTAGCACAAATTTAACATGTTTCTAATGGTTACAATGTGTAACAACTTTCTATCACAAATATGTTATGTTAAAAATCTGGCTAGCACAAACTAATTTGTTGCTAAAAATTCTCCATGTTCAACATGCTGCTAACATTAAGCAGCATTAGGTTCGACATTAAGTTAAACTATTTTTAACATTAATAACAAGTAATATCTCTTGAGTATCAAATCGGCATATTCAAATGTTTTTAAAGAGACATGGCAACGAAGACTGTAAAAATGGTGCTCAAAATTCAGTTTTCAGGAAAAATAATGCACGTTAAAATATTTTGAAATGTATAACAAGTCCTTTAAATCATATTTCAAAATATTAAAGTAGTGAAACTAGAAAAGTAAAGTTTGTAGACGAACGTTGCTGTCTTGAGAAAGCCCAGTCTGAAAGTTTAAAGTAGCTTATAAGAAGTTTTACGCAATTGGCATAGATAGATAATTACATATAGGTTAGCAGGTTTCCAGCATGGAACAGCATGTTTCTTGCTAGGTGGTTGCTAGGGTGTTCTGAGTAGTTGCTAAGGTGTTACTTGGTGGTTGCTAAGGCGTTGCTTGGATGTTTTGACTGTTTGTTAAGGTGTTGCTAGGCAGTTGGTAAGATGTTCTAAGTGGTTGCTTTGTGGTTGCTAAAGTGTTGCTAGGGTGTTCCAGGTAGTTGTTAAGGTGTTGCTAGTTGGTTGCTATGGTATTCTGAGTGGTTGCTTGGTCAACGACTGAGTGGTTGCTAAGGCATTACTAGGCGGTTGCCAGGTTGTTCTGAGCGGTTGCTAAGGCATTGCTTAGGTGTTCTAGGTGGTTGCTAAGGTGTTGCTAGGCATTTGCTATGGTGTTCTGAGTGGTTGCTAAGGCATTGCTAGGTGGTTGTTAAGGTGTTCTGAGTGGTTGCTAGGTGATTGCTAGAGTGTTCTAGGGGGTTACTAAGGTGTTGCTAGGTGGTTGATATGGTGTTTCTAGGTGGCTGCTAAGGGGTCCTGAGTGGTTGCTAGGCAGTTGCTAACATAAATTACCATGGTTTTAGTACAAATTAGCATGTTACTAGCATGTTTCTAGCATAAATTAGCATGTTGTTAGCATGGTTTTATTATATATTAGCATGTATCTAGCGTGTTTCTATATAAACTAGCATGTTGGTAGAATGAATTTGGTATGAATTAGCATGTTGCTAGTATGATTGGTATGTTTGTTAGTATGTTTTTAGTATGGATTGGTATGCTGTTAGTATGTTAGGATGGATTAATTTCTAGTATGGATTAGTATACTGCTAGTATGGATTGGTATTTCGTTAGTATGTTTCTAGTAAGGATTGATATATTGTTAACATGAATTGGTATTATAAGAGCCATAAGTTCATTGTTTTATTTATGTTAAATTGATAGTAATGTAAAAAGCAAACTTGAAAATATTTAACTAAAAGTAATTTAATTTTTAATATAGAGTATATGCTGATGTCACTTCCGGTAAGGAAGAAGTTGTGTCATGAAGATGGAAGCAAGACAGTTTTTTGACCGTGTATTATAGTTCAGTTAAGTTGTTATTAAACATGTTCGAAATGACATCACTGGACTGTCTTATGTTACCCGCGTTCAAATCCTGCTTATTCAAAGAGAGAAACAAAACAAGAAGAGACAGATTGATGGCACATACAGGTATGTTGTTAGTATGTCCAATTTAAAGTCGATGCAGTTTTTTTTTTTAGATTGGAACACTTTTTTTTTTACAGTGTGTATGGGACAGTTGCTAAGGTGCTGTAAGTGGTTGCTAGGGTGTGGCTAGTAAGTTAAAAGGTCATCAGTGATTGGCAGATTGGTAGTCTGAGTTAAATTAGCATAACCTTAAGTCTGTTTGACAGCAAAGAATACACAAGACATGTCACTCGTAAACTTTTGAATGGGGAAAAGTGTAACAGCCAATATGGGGAATGAAGCCCCGCCTTTTAGTACAGGAGCCAATCAGAGATCGCTATAGAATAGACATTTTTCTTGACTGCTGCGTGGTGGGAGCCATAGCGACCAGCGTCTTCCGGTAGAATGTTTAGAACTTCCGTTTACAGTGTTTAAAATAGATAATTTGCGCTCCAAAAGCTGGTTTTAATAGCGTTTTGAGTGGATTACAACTTTGAAAGGTGTGTGTTAAAGCTGTTTTAACCTGTCAGATGTGGTTCACACGCGAGAGAAAAACATTCTCCTAGTTCACGTGTCTGCTGTCAGAAATACAATGTGCGGTGTGTGTATGTGTTCCCGACCTGTCAACTGTTAGCTCAGTGGCTCTTCAATGCACACATACAAACACAAACCCACACACCCACGCGCCCATGCTAGTGTGTAGTATTTACCATGGTATGTGTTTTTCTGTCATTTCAAAACGCCTCTTTATTTTCACTTTGTGCTACTCTTTCAATGTGTCAGTGGGACAGTATGTGTGTGTGCCAAACGTTTTGGAGAATTACTTTTGTTTGGGTTATATATATATATATATATATATATATATATATATATATGATATATATGATATCACATGTGTGTGTGTGTGTGAAATGCCTTACCATGAAATGCCTTACCATTTAAGTATTAGTGTTATTATATTATTAATGACCTCCAGTCTCCGTGTTCTGCGTCTGACACCTTCAAACGCCACCATGCGTTCACTGCATGTCAGGATTTGCCTTCTATGGCGCAAGTCACTTATTAAATGAAGAAAAGATTGATACAGCTTCTCCTACTGCAGCAAATTCAGTTTTTACTGTTGATATTTGGTGCCAGTTAATCAGGAAGTGATGATTTTGTTTGCTTTGACTTGTTGGATGGGAACGCAGGTTTATTCGCACGTCTTTTATGCGATAATCCAGTTTTGCGCATAAAGTTCATTCGCATTTTTGGAAGGAAACATAGCTAATGACTCGCAGCAGTTGATTTCCATCGTATTAGATCACATTTTTTTTCAATGATCTGTCTAAGACGAGGTGCTGATCGACAACAGTATTAGTTCAAAGACGTTAAAGCAAGTACAATAGATTAAAACTATCGTTTTAATGCTGTCCGAATTTCACTGTTTCACGCATTAGCTGCCGACCGGAGGTTCTTAGAATGCAAAATTACTCATTATGCTAAGGAGAATGCTAAGAAAAAGGTCTATTGACCTTATTCTAATTTGTGGAAGTGCGCCTGTTTTCGTGATTGTCTTAGAACTTCCGATTCAGTCGCCTATGGGAGAAATGACTAGGAATAATAAACGGCAGAAAATGGTCAAACTGCTTGCTCTACAAACAAATGTTTGCATGACTATACAGACCAAGTAGAATATTATAATAAGAAAATATCAAATTGCAACATCAAGCAGCGTAATGAGCAGTTTTTAACGTCAAAAAAGGAATGGAAGTGAATGAGACCGGAAGTCTCAAGCCAAAAAGATTCAAATGGCAGCGCCTACTCGTCGGCGGAGAATAAGGTGAATAGAATGACAACTCTCCGAGGGAAGGGCCCAGGTCAGACGTGAGTTTTTGCAGATTTTGTGTGATACGAACATTAAAAAATGAAACTAAATAATGTTTAATTTTCTTGGTTATTTGTAATATGTAATTTAATGGTAAGCTTGGCAAGCAGATTTAGAGAATTTGATGTTTTCCCATTCAAACAGAATGCCCGGGCATATTGCACAAGAGCCGCTTCAAAGATGGGCGCCGAGTGAAATGACTTGCTTTAAAGAGACTTTGATGATAGTCTTGCGCAAAGTTATTATTAGGTCACAAAGTTTGGTCCAATTTACGGAAGACCGCAAGACGGATCAGTTGGAAAAGATTTAGCAACCCAAGTCAGACAAGTTTGGAGGTTTGGTGTTAGTTTGGTGGTTCTAGTATGAACGTTCTAGGAGGATATGCTGAAAGAAATAGTCTCAGAAAAAGACGGAAGAATAATATAGTTTATGTAGTATAACAGTATGTTGGCTTTCTCAAAACCACCGTCATTATTTCAAATGCAGCTTTGGTGAAAATAAAAGATTCCTCCTTTAAAAATGACATTTACAACTGTAAAAAAATTATAATACATTTAACAAAGTATATACCTCAATACATGTCTACAAAAGTACAGCAAACAAGTTCCCAGGAAAGTAATGCAAATCTATACTAATGTTCTGCACAGTGAGTACTGCTTTGCCATTAACCAGTGCCAATACACTGATTTATGATCATTCATTGAGGCATGAAGAAGCATAGTATGTGTGGGCATGACAAACACAGTGATAACGGCTGTGGGACGGGTGCAGACTGAGCGACAGGCAAACAAGACAGAAGCGCGGGGGGGTAAATAGGGCACCAGCAGTCATCCTTAGGTTAAGCGCTCTCAAATTTCCCCACCTGAGCACAGCAGCCAGAGAATGAGGTCACATGCTTTGGCAGCTACAATATATAAAGCCAAGTGCTGTTACCAAAGAGACAAATCAAACATCCAAATAAGCCCTCTGCAGGGAGAGGTGGGATTATCTCCAACAGTAAAACATAAATCCACGTTCACATCATGCCGTGGAGGGTACGGATCAAGGGAGGAAACCAATGTCTGGCATAGAGCAGATGTCAACCAGTTGTTGCTCCAAGTATAAATCCGTTAATGATCAAAACACTGAAAAACATTGTGACCTTGTTCACTACGTCTCTCTAAATGAGTGCAGCGTGATGTGATAGGACAATATGTTCTTAAAGGGCCATGAGTCCACCTTTGTTTAGGTGGGAGTGTTGAGTGGCGAAAGAGGGAAGGGTTGGTGAAAAGAAAAGTTTTGTTACGTGCACATGCTAATTTTCACAGAGGCAACACAAACAGTGACTACATATGCATGGACATCAGTAATCAAATTATTTGCCTTGATTTGAATAAGACAGTATTATGATTAAGGTGTTTATATGAGTTGCTTTTTGAATGTTCCTTTCATAATCCCGTTTTACATGTTATAGCACATAATTCGATTAACGTTGTTGTGTCATTGCCACACTATCCACATTTCCCCCAGAGTTTCTTGTAATTTCAGGTGTTTCATTCTTAATTTGTCGACTTTAATTGCAGTTTGGCACTTTTACTTTCATTCAGGAACATTTTGTGCATGCCTCTCCATGACAAACAAGATATTGGATGCGAGAAACTGCTGGAAGAGTGTAGTTTCCCACATAGCAAAATTTCTCTGGCCCAGCTCTGGCCCACACAATCAGGTTTTGCTTGGCTCACATGCCGCAGTGAATTACGGTACATGACTGGACCAAATTTGGCTTCCAGACAAGGGCCAAACAAGGACCATATCTGGGCCAAGTCTCAGCCAAGGTAATAACTCATAACTGGGCCTGAACTGGGCCAGATAGGTTGGTGTGTCACGATTGCAACGAAATTGATAAACCCATGGAGTGATGCGCTTTAGGCACACTATGGGCACGCTTTTTCTCAAAGTGACCTGATTGGTAGAATTTTTTTTCTTTACTCAAAAATGATTTTAGTGTATTTTAAATGTGGGTCAAGACTGGCCAAACTCACATGGCCCACTTATCAAATTTTTAAATCTGGGCCAAATACTACATTTTTCATCTGGCCCAAATCTTGTGTGCTGCCTTAAAGATAGTGCTGCCTCTGCCAAACCCGGGCCATGTTTGGCCACATGCTGTATGCCAGTGGCAGATGAATGCCTGCTGTGCCAGCTTTATGCCAAATCTGGGCCAGAATTCTTTGCTATTAGAGTTTAATGGAATTTGATACCACACGCTGTATGGGAGAAAAGAAAACTCAGCGTTTCTCGGTAGATGCATCGACTCAGTATGGGCAGAGAATATCCTCAAACAGCCGTGTGTGTATAGGCTATTCTGTCACAAAATGTGGCAAAAATCATAAGCAGCGAAAATCTTACATGACGGTAAAAGTTTGATTAAGATGATTACATGTTTACATTCAGAGAGCAGCATTTACAGCGGATATTTCAGTCCATAATGTTGTAGTCATATTAAAGTACTGTAAACTTTGTAACTAAATCATTTTGACTTAAGTATATCTTTAAAAACTGAAAGAGTACTGTTGACGATACTAACTAACTTTGACATCTGAATAAACATAAACAAAAAACACTGATCACTTTACCAAATTGGTAGAGACAGGACAATCAACACCAACTATAACAGTGTCTTTTTTTTAAAGGAGACGAGATACAATTCTGGATTTCATCATTTCTAGATGCGAAAAGTCTAAAAAAAAATTTCCGTACAAACATATTTTGGTTGCATGTTAGCAGATCACTAAGGCCGTACTCACACTAGGTACAGTTGCCTCGAACCGGGCCAAAGCACGCTTGTCCCCCCTCCCGTCTCCCCCGACGGCCCGTGCTCACACCATATCGGGCCTCGGCACGCTTACGTCATCGCTGTTCAGAAGCACTCTCAATGGCAAGCCTTTTTAGCATTTAAATCTTTGTTCTGACTCCATAAATATATTTAGAGTTATCTCTAATAATATTTTGACTAGTCATAATTATAATTCGACTAGTCAGAATAACAATTAGAGATATCTGCTATTACAATTGTACTAGTACAAAATCAGATTGGAGATATCTGCAAATATATTATGACTAGTCATATTCCTCTATTGACTTCCATTGAAAAATATTTGCAGATATCTCTAAATGAGTTTTGACTAGTCACAATTGTAATTAGAGACATCTCTGAGTTTTTACTAGTCATAATACATTTGGAGATGTCTTTAATTCATCATATTTAGAGATATTTACAAATATATTTGAAGATCTCTAATTAATTTACTAATAGTCGAATTACAGTTGTAGATATCTTGAATTGGATTTTTGACGAGTCAAAACTCAGAGATATCTGCAAATATTTTTCAATAGAAGTCAATGGAGGAATATGACTAGTCATAATATATTTGCAGATATCTCCAATCTGATTTCGTACTAGTACAATTGTAATTGCAGATATCTCTAATTGTCATTCTGACTAGTCGAATTATAATTATGACTAGTCAAAATATAATTAGAGATATCTCGAAATATATTTATGGATAGTCAGAACAAGGTTTAAATGCTAAAACGGCTTGCCATACGCTCTCACTCAGTAGCACAGTGGAGATTTCTCTAGTTATATCCTTTCAGTCGTTTGATATGCCGTCAAATATTTCGCCAAACAGTCCTTAGGGACGCGGGGACACGCAGTCAGATATTTCGCCGAACAGATCCGCCACTTTTGGCGCTCATAAACAATCATAAAGCTCTCATGCTGCAGGAATGAGGAGGTCTGCTGAAGGCGCGCAGCTGGCGTGCTGTGAGGAGTTTGCGTCTTTAATAAACTACGGCAGTTTGCGTTCACTGAACAGTAAGAATGATTAATAAATCCATATCAAACAGTCCCTTAAAAGTCACGTCTCGCTTTCGGTTTCGAGCTTTGGCGCGTTTTGCACTTACACACAAGCGTACCGCGCCAAAGCCCAAGTGATCCGCGCTCAGGCACACCTCTTCCAACCGGGCCAGGGCCGGCCAAGTGAACCGTGCTTGAGCCCGATTCAGCGCACTCACACTTCTCAAACGATCCGGGAAACGGGCCTGGGCACGGTACGGATGGCATAGTGTGAGTAGGCCCTAAGATCCACACTCAGCCGTGCTCTCATTGCAGGAAAATGAAAACAAAACCTTTATTGCGGGACATTTATAAACGCAATACTGATGACCCATGTCTCCTAACAATTCTTCTTCTTTGACTGGTTTTAATCACGGTTGGCAACACAACGTGGAATCTCTCTGCCATCTAAACGCTGCAACAGGTAAAAACAGGTTCTCAAAGCTATCATGCTAATTAATGAATTTGCACCTCATTCACAATAGAGTGTGCTAATTTGTTCGAACCAAGTCTTTCTTATGAACTAATGCTGAAAACTCCAGCAACATTTTGCATTCAAGAAAAACAATCCATTGTTTTTAAGAAAACTCACAAAGAACTTTTCAATTCAAGTCAAGTCACACCCGAAGGCTAACTTAAACTCTTTTGCCCATTCACAATCACTATTCCTTTGGATTCCAAATAAAGTAACTGGATTTTTCAATAAAAAAAAAATAGGCAGTGGAGGCATCTCAATAAGTTTTGTAACAGGGGAGCACTGGTTGCAGCACTCACCTTCAGAGACCTGCTCTAAGACTCGTGTCACCCTCTCTGGCTGTAAGACATGTTTGTTAAGGTACTTGGTGAAGATCCCCGTGCTCTTGCCACCGTCCTGAACCTCGAAAGCCTCTGCATCTTCACTCCTATTAATCCCAAACTATCATATTTAATTTCAATGTTTTAAATGAGGCTTAGATTATTATGATTATTCCATTACTCACGTGGCGTATCCATACACAGTGTTGCCCAGAGGAGCCAAAGGCTTAATTTCAGAGGGAGGGCCTTTTTGACTGTACCTGTGAGGTGAAGAAGAAAATTTTCCACATCAAGTAACATCAGGAACGTGGAGTTCTAAACAGATTATTTCCACTTTGTAGTAAATGTAAAGTTGCACAAGATCATCATGTTCCTGCAGGCCTACCATTTCCTGCAGGTGTCCAGGAGAATGACGTTGAGCTGCGCTTTTCTTTCCTGCATGCTGCGCATTACTCTCTGTACACACACACAATTTTCTGTACGGTAGGGTCGTGGAGCATCAATGGCCACCAGGTAATTTCGGCCGGCGTGCTCATAGCCATGGCCAGCGTAGTAAAAAACAGCTGCAAAGTAAACAAATAAAGAGAAAATGGGTTTAGAATTTGTGTACAGCGATGTGTAAAAATTTTGAGTGCCTTAAACTTTTTTGCCTTTAACTTATGTATTTTGATAAATTATTTTTTATTATTTAAAAATATATGTACAATTAAGAAACTCATAATATTAGAGACACTGGTGGCTGTTAAGTGAACTGCAGCCAGAAGCTCATTCCTTCTGCTCACACTTGCACACTTTAAGGCATAGGTTTCAAACTCAACTCCTGAAAGGCCGCAGCTTTGCAGTTTTGTTCTAACCCTAATCAAACACAGCTGATCAAACTGATAAAGGTGTTCAAGACTACTAGAGACTTTAAAGCAGATGTGAATTGGAGGTGGTTGAAGCTAAACTATGCAGAGCTGTGGGCCTACAGGAATTGAGTTTGAGACCATTGCTTTAATAGGCCGTTTTAACTGAGTGGTGCGGTACGGTATGGTTTGGTTCGGTACGCTTTTATGGCCGTTTCCACTGTTAAAAGCTATCTAAAAGTGAACAGTACCGTACCCCTTTTTGGGTACCATTTGCAAAGTGTACCTAGCATGACAAAACGGTACCAAAAGGCGGAGCTAGACGCGCAACTGGAAGCTATTGTTTTTACAGAGATACGTCACCCGTGCATACAAAAGCGGAGAATGATAACAAAGGGAATGCGGTTTTGAAAATCTGTGTAGATGTGGAAAAGGGGCAGGGCTCGACAATAAGGACTGCCCGAAGGCCCGGGGCCAGCGTGCGAGACACTCGGGCCAGTGTACAGAATGTTACTGGCCCGATCGGGCCAGTGCTGCCTTTTTACCTGCCAGATCGAGCCAGAGCTGCGTGCTGCGACTGTCTGTCAATTGTGTGCAAATACAATCTAACGGTGCTTTCACACATAGACGTTTGTTTCGGAATCTGTCTCGTTTCCCCCGTTAGCGCGTTTTTTTGGGCATATATCCAGCAGTTGCGCTCAGCGCTCGCATCCGCGCCCGCATCCGCGCCAAATCAATCAGGCCGAGATCGCCTGAATGAGAAGGTCTCTGCCCTATTGAGCGGATCGATTGTAGTGACAAAACAATGCAACGAACTAACGACCCAGGCTATGTCACAGTGTATTATGATTGTGTAATAGCCATATATACGGCTATATGACGAGAGAATGATGCGCAGGGCGAGATGTCATTCTTACCGGTAAATGCGAAAGTGAAAGCATGCTGAAATATTACCGAGAGCTGTTTATCCAGCCTGAAATCATATCCGTTAGGAAAATTGACCGAAGTTATTATCTGATAATTTTTTCCCATGTTTTAATCGTATAATATGTTGTGTTAGGCCAGTTGTTTTGTTCATTTCTGCACTGACAGCTCAAAGGAAAATCAACATTGATCTGCTTCGCGATCTGATGCAGTCTCGGTTCATTTTCTATGTCTCTATAATTTAAGCCTAAAATACAGAATTATAGTCAACGTTTCTTTAATAGATTGATTAATTTAATAGATAGATATCTACAAAACCTGACAATTGAAATGAGACTCTGTATGAGAAAGTCTAACCTCGATTTGTATTTGGTGACAGTCTGTGGGTTGTTAAAATTAAAGTGCACATTTTCACTTATAAAATATTCTATACACAACTTGTCAAAAGTTTGGGGTCAGTATGATTAAATATGTTAAAATAAGCTTCTTCTGCTCACCAAGGCTGCAATTATTTAATCATAAATACAAATTGTGAAATGTTGCACTATAAAATAACTGTTCAAAAGTAGTTTATAATATAATTTATTCATTTATTCCAGGGATTTTAAAGATGAAATTTCAGCTTCATTACTCCAGTCACATGATCCTTCAGAAATCACTAATATTAATTATTATTATATTTATTAATGGTAATAGTAATAAAATCAATAATGTCTGGAGTAATGATTTCATTTGAAACTACATACAATAACAAAGCAGTTATTTAAAATTTTGATAAATATTTAACAATTAAACCTTTTTTACATTTATAAATATAGCCTTGATGAACTGAATAATTTTCCCTAAAAAACAGTTTAAAAATTACTGTAAATATATATACAGAGTTATTAGCCTCCTTTTGTTTTTTGTTTTTTTCTTTTTAAAATTTTTCCTAAATGATGTTTAACAGAGCAAAGAAATGTTGATAGTTTGTCTGATAATATTTCTTCCTCTGAACAAAATCTTATTTGTTTTATTTTGGCTAGAATAAAAGTAGTTTTTTTTATTAACCATTTTAAGGTCAAATTTATTAGCCTCTTAAGCTAATTGTTTTTCAGACTGTCTCCAGAACAAACCACCATTATACAATAACTAGCCTAATTACCATAACCTGCCTAGTTAACCTAATAACCTAGTTAAGCCTTTAAATGTCACTTTAAGCTGTATAAAAGTGTCTTGAAGAATATGTAGTCAAATATTATTTACTGTCATCATGACAAAGACAAAATAAATCAGTTATCAGAGATGAGTTATTAAAACTATTATGATTAGAAATGTGCTGAGAAAGTCTGTTTTCTGTTAAATAGAAATTGGGGGAAAATAAACAGGGGTGCTAATAATTTAGGGGGACTAATAATTATGAAATCAACTGTGTGTGTGTGTGTGTGTGTGTGTGTGTGTGTGTGTGTGTGTGTGTGTGTGTGTGTGTGTGTGTGTGTGTATACACACGCACCCACACCCACACACGCACGCACGCACAGTCAAATAGCTATTAACTTTTCTTTTTTTGGTGGGGCCAGTGAAAATTTTGGCAGGGCAAGTAAAAATCAGAACTAAAAAATCCTTAAGCGTTGAACCCTGCAGGGGGAAATGTAGTTTAATGTGTCCTTGTTAAAAGTTCCATTTACTTACTATAGTACTGTAATTACAATTAACTATGCATAATTGCATGCAACTAACCATAAGTCTGATCTGCAATCTAACCTTTGAGTACATAAAAAAACTAATTAGTATGACCCAGTAGTTAAATGCAGTGGTGGAAAGAGAACTGAAAAATCATACTCAAGTAAACGTAACATTACTTGCATAAAAATGTAGTGCGAATAAATGTATCTGTTGTAAATATTACTCAAAGTATGAGTAAAAAGTAGCTCTTTTAAAAGTACTCAAAAGTAGTGAGTACTACTCTGCGAAAGCTTATGCATTTACATGTAATTTGTGGATGTGTGTAAACGTCACATTTTGTAGTGCATTTAGTCATTGCTAGGGACAGACAGAATCTGCAGACATTTTTTGCTATTTCTGTAAAGAATTTTGTATCTGCGGATTTATGATAAATTAATTTGGGAGTATCATAACTAAAAACTTAATATACAAAATAAAAATGAATACTTTTTTAACTTTTATTTAATGTCTACAATGCAAATCCAATAAGATTCATTCATTTATTTTAAACAAAGCAAGTCTTCCATAAAATATATCTACTAAAAGACAGAAAAAGGAACACTTACATATAAGTCAATATTATTACTGAAATTAATTTAAAAACTAAATAAATATAAATTTACGAACATTTACAAAAGTAAATAGACTCAATAATGGGCTAAAAATCTGCGAAAATCTGTGGATAGTAATTGCCCAGCAGGCACACAACATCATAAGACATCAATATTAGGTTAGATTTAGGTAGTGACACCAGGTGACCAAAATTCGTTTTCTAGCCAGTGTCTAAGGACATTAAAAAAGTTATTTTGATGTCCAATAATTACGTCAAATGATGTTAATATTTTGTTGATTTTAGGTTGCGATAGAAAGCAACCAAATCCAACGTTGAGCCAACATCTTAAACAAACATTATATTGATGTCAAAACACTGACATTAATTCGTTAGGTATGGCAACTAAAGTCCAATGTCTGATAGATGACATATTGGTAACATCCACACAACATCAAGTTGTAACTTCATTAGACATTAATATTTAGTTGCTTTTAGGTTAGTTGTTGGCCTGGCGTTGAGTTCTGATGTCAACCCAATTTTAATTTCCAAACAAAATGCAATGTCCCCACGACGCTGTACAACGTCAACTTGATGTCATGTTGACGTCTTGTGCCTGCTGGGTGCTAAGGCCATTTCATTCATTCATTCATTCATTTTCTTTTCGGCTTAGTCCCTTTTTTAATCCAGGGTCGCCAAAGCGAAATGAACCACCAACTTTTCCAGCACAATTTACACAGCGGATGCCCTTCTAGCTGCAACCCATCTCTGGGAAACATCCACACACACATTCACACACACACTCATATACTAAAGACAATTTAGCCTATCCAATTCACCTGTACCGCATGTCTTTGGACTGTGGGGGAAATCAGAGCACCCAGAGAAAACCCACGCAAACATAGGAAGAACATGCAAACTCCACACAGAAACGCCAAATGACCCAGCCGAGGCTCAAACCAGCGACCTTCTTGCTGTGAGGTGACAGCACTACCTACTGTGCCACTGTGTCTCCGCCATTTTGTCCAAAGCGTCTTACAAGTGAGGCATTCAGCGATTCAACAAGAAGAGACAATACATAGTACTCAGAGAATTTAGTGCTAGAGTTAGAGGTTTTTTAGAGAGAGGGAGGAAGATGGAAAGTGTTTTTACAGGTGGTCTTTTCACTGAGGTTAAGGTGCTCTTAGAAGAGATGGGTTTTTAGTCGTTGTTTGAAGGATACAAGCAATAAATTTAACTAATACATTGTTTTGGGTTCTGTCTGAAACCACAATTGATCTGTGATTTGCCTTGATTAACCCACCATGCTCAATGTAAAACAGCCTTAAGGAAGGTATTATGCAAAATCTGCATAGTAATATAAAATGTGTTCAGCAATGTGTCATCATAGAGCACATATGTAAGATCTGATCCAATTATGAAAGTAGGAATTTATAGGTCAATATGAATCATTCAAATATGAATGACTGGTCTATGATGTTTGAAAATGACATCAAAGCATCAAAACAGTCACGTGACTCTAGATTACAAGCCAAATGTACTAACTAGGTCAAACTACTTTGAGCACAATCCCATAAAATTGCAAACGGGAGAAGAAAATTCTGCAGCTGATCCATTTTGGCAATGCACAAGTTATAAAATACAGATGCAGCAACTCACTTCCATTATGACCAACACATTCCAATAAATCAGGTGCAAAAAAAGGCTTAGTAATCTCAATGTTAAGATAATGTTATCTCTTAGCATTCCAAATAAATGAATACAAGGGACGAAAATAGTTTTCATTCCCTTTTCTATGTTGCGCCTTCAACAGCAAAATGTTAAGCGTAAAAAGGGTTTTAAGTTGTTTTTGGGTGGTGCATTATGGCACAAATATCAATAAATCATTAAAACAAGCCTTAGTAAATCATCTTACATAATTTATTTACATACTTTCTTTCCAGAAATGTTTTTTTCTAAATAAATGTAAACTGTAAAATGTATAAACATTTGTCCTACACTGTAAAGAAACTATATGACTAAAAGTCATGACAACAAATGCTTTACTTAAAACTTAATTTATCTAGTTAATCATCTTTCAACTACATTGTTTTAGCTATACAACGTTTAAAATAAGATCCTTTAGTCAGTTTGACTGGTTTACAGTAAGTTGAGATGAATTAAAAAGTTCATTTGATTCAACAACAAAAAATTAAGGTGGGAATTTATTTAGTGTTCAAATGAGTGTGCTGAAAAACAAACAACCGTCTACTCTACACCATTTGATAGCTAACTTTTTCCATTGCAAGTCTTTAGTAAATCCTAACAGCAAAACTGTAAGTTGCAAAACTGTTTTCACTTATGCAAAATATAATATAAACATGGCTCTGATCCTTTAAAATCCACATGATAGCTTGCAAGAGGACTAAAATATTATTCACATCCACTCTAGTGCATTCAATAAAACAAACAGTGAGGTTACATTCATTAAGTTAATCTGTAACATTTGCTGTGAGATGTTTGTTCCAGTTCACAAAGCCAGTGACTCACTAATCCAGTTGCACTCAATTCAAATAATATTAAGGAGTACTAATTTAAAAAGTTAGGCCTGCACATAGCATTAAACAAGCATAAAATAACCATTCTAGACATTTTTTCTTTGCTTTTGTTTCCTTTTTAATGCTTGACAACCCAGATCAGTTCAATATTTGTATTCTCTTTGAAGGAAAAAATCAAGTCAAGGTTTTCCAAAACAAAGAAAATGCGACAAAATCTTAATTTGCTCAGTGAACTACATGAAGACTTCAGAATAAAGTTGTATTTCTTTGAATTATTATCCTGCTGTTTATACTCATTGCTACTATTGCAGGCATCAGCATTAATATACTTTAAAGGTGCAGTAGGTGATTGTCTTCAGAAACATTTTTGTTGTGCTAGTTGAAAGTCTATAATAGTAACGAATAAAGTAAATGATCTAAATGTATTTTTGTGTTTTTTTTATATTCTTGGTAAGACATAAAACTTTTAAAAAATGATTATTCAATTAGCCCAAACTGTCTTTCAACAAATGTAGATTTGTACAACTGTGCATCTCTTTTCATGCAGATCCGCCGCTTGCATGTGCACACATGCATGCGCACCGCGCGTTTATGTGCACACAAGATATACGGGATCGCAGCGGTAAAATCAAATGCTGAATAAAAACTTTAAAATCCTGAATCAGTATTGGAGTTATTTTGCACCCTGGAGGAAGGATGACACCATGGCTGAAGTATTTCTTTTAAACAGGTATTATCTTTTAACTATTTTAGTCATGCAAAGCTTATGTAGATTTTGTTGTATTATGAATGGATTATATGCATAGAAGTGTTGTTTAACCACTGAAATTGAAAGATTGACTTTTTTCAGTTTCATAAGGTACAGCATTTACAGCATTAATAATGTTGATTTTTATTTAGTTTAACAACAAAACATAGTAAATAGCGCTATTGTACTTAGACTGCTTTACTGAGCTGAAATTGGTTTTATATTTACATTGGTTAATTTTTGAACAATGGCAACTTGTGATGCACTCCCTATATTGTTTACCACACAACTTGGAATATTCGCTCTGAAATAGCATGTAAGTATGGCTTAGTAATAAGTGTAATTCCTGCACGCCGCTGGCCAACCACTAACTACATTTCTAACTGGTGGATGACATGAACTAGTGGATTGTCTGCAGGGCTGGCACGTCCATAGAGGCGACCTAGGACTAGGGTGGCAGAATAGTGAGGGCGGTGTTTGTTTTCACTTTCGGGTTGAGGGCAGCATGATCGTCCTTTGCCTAGAGCGCCCTCTGCTTGCTCCGGCCCTGGTTGTCTGCTGTCATCTTTAAGTTGCGCGCATTCGTGTTTCAGGATGGCAGGGGAGGGACTGTGTTTCAAAGATATTAAGCTAACTGATTTGCATTTCAGCAGATTACCTTCTAAACCTTTAATATTGATAATATCATATAATGAGTTGATATATTACTATGAGTAATGTAACCCACACAGCAATACAGAAGTGTGAACATCAACAGGAATGACTAAACACTTTCCATTTTCAGCCTTCTATTAAACACAATACGAGTCAAAATTATATACTTTATAAGACAATACAATAACATTAAAAAATACTAAATTTAATTCCTGTGTAAGCTACTGTAGCTGAGCAACCTATATAAATCCGTTAACTAGAAACTTTACACCACAACTGCAAGTTTCTGCAAGGCGAACAGCAGCCCACGCATCTCTTATCAGCCAGTCACCAGACCACAGCATGTCTGTGTCATTCTGAAAAAAAGCCCTTTGGATGAAAGTGCTGTGGTTTTTTGACCCATGACATGCACTGATACTGTATCAACGGAAAAAAAAGCCATTTTATCCACTCAGATGGAACTTCCTCTTAGACGTCACTTTAATGCTCCAGTGATTTTTATTAAGCAACACTAAATTACTTTTTGTTTCTTAAGAATTTAAAATGGACAGTGTATTGTCCTGAACTGGAAAATACACAACTCTAAAGATTACAATGAGCTTGATATAGCACACATCTTTTTTTATGCAACTAGGAACCTGAAACTTTCACCACAAACAAGTCATTGGCCTGAATGTAAAACCTACATCCTGTGAGATAAATACTTGTACAGTTAAAGTATTCCTAAGAAATACAGCTGGCATTTTTTAGAGGCTCTTCATGCAAGGCCACAATAGGCGACTCACCATACACTCCACGGTCCAAGAGCTGCAGAAATTTGTCAATGGCCGCCTGCATTTCTTCAAGGGTGAGATCAAGCAGAGAAACCACTCTGAAATCCAGCTGCTGCAGAAGATTGGCCAGCTCATGGACATCCATGGTAGGGGCCATCAAACCGGGATGGTGGCTGTAGTTCAGGTTCCCAATCAGTAATGCCACTTTGTCGGTTGCTAAGCAAAAGAAAGGTTTAATTTTCTTTTTTAAATTGCAAATGCCTTAAATTTGTATGTTTATGTTACCCAGGACCACAAAACCAGTCATAATGGTCAATTTTTGGAAATTTAGATTTTTTTTAAAGCTGAATAAATGAAAGTTCATATACTATTACTATATATTACTAATCTAATTAGGTTTAGATATACTGTACAGGGCTCAGGATATACAAGTACACCCCTCACTATATTTTAAATTAAGATTTTTAATAGTAAGCTATACAATATTACATTTGTGCATATACATTAGATTAGTTAGTACTGAAGCCAAACTGGAGTTGGTCTAACAAAATAACTTACGATAACTAGTATGCCCAAATATATATGTTATAAAAAACAATTAAATACAACGTTTAAAAAAATAAAAATTGTTGAAATTTTGTATAGTTTCAATAGTTTGTTTGAATTTAAATGCATTATCTTTCAATTTCTAAATATGTTTGTTGAATAAAATATTATTTTAATAAATATATCTGTTTAATAAATCTGTTTTGTTTAAATGCACCAAAATACATTGAATATATTCACAGAGAAATGGAGAAAAATATTAGTTTAATTTTATAATCAAAATGGGGTGAACTCAGTTATGCTGAGCACTGTACATTTGTGGAAAAAAGAAAATGTCCTCAACTATCTTCATGGAACATGATCTTTACCAAATATAATTATGATTTTGGCATAGAATTAAATGTAATAATAATTCTGACTCATGCAATGTATTGTTGGCTAACCCCACAAATACAAAATTAAATTGGTTTTATGGTACAAAAAAAATTGTAAATATTGTAAAAAAAATTACAATAATAAAACATCAATTTTACTCTTAAATGAATACTTTCTATAGGATGCTATACAATGGTTATAATATAACTAATTTGACAACTACATTAAGATTAAATATCAGGGAGAAAATATGAATGCATTGTAACTAATAGGAGAAGACACTGTAATTAACAAAAATAAATAAATAAAGAAGCAATAGCCTAGCACAGAAATTCCATTGAAAATACTGAGGTATAATAACCTGTAATATTTGACAGACATGGTGGGGGGAAATGGAAATTATTGCAGTGCTTTTTGTCCAATCTGAGACGCACTTCATATCCTATATCTAACAGACAATGGAGATCGCTGATTTTTAAAGTAATCAGATCTTAAATGTGACAACTTTGTAATATAAAGACAATTCAAAGGAAGCCCTTGGGCTGCCTGGCCGAAAATTAAAAGTCTGTTTATATATAGCCCATTTTATTTACTATTTATGAAATAAAAATAAATGGTTAATAGCAATAAGTGATAATTGTAACAGGTAATGTATGTATATTGTACACATGCCTTTCAGTGGAAGATTTACATTTTTGGGATTTCTCTCATTTCACTCGTTTATATTTAATTTCCATTATGATGGAAGGCCTGCAATTCATCAAACTTAAAAAAAAAAAAAAAGTTTTTCCGTGTGTGTGTGACAATCCTGCATAAAAGACGGTGATTGTTTTTTAGAGGAAATATTTAAGGTTGGAGTATTGCACAACTTGAGCTGAAACTTGACGTTGTGTGTAACCTACCCATAAGCGTGGTTGTTGGTAGCTGATCTGGAGGTGCTGTGGGGGAACCAAAGGAAAAAAAAGGTTGTTAAGTCCACAGCTTGTGTTCTTCCAGAAGTTTCACAAATGAAGAAAATACTCTGACAACGCTCACATTATTTGTGTTTCCTTAATGTAACAAATAAAAAGGGAAGCTTTCATTAAGCTGGTTTCACTGTAGCATCGGTGTCCATCTAGGGACCTGTTTAGACTTCAAAATACCATTCAGTTCCTGATAGCTTTCAACTCCTACAAATTGTGGAAAGTACCAATAATCTGAAACTACAGTTAGACTACAACAAGCAAAAAGAATTCACAAAGCTAAACACTGGACTTTTTCCTTAATTTAAGGTTTCTAAATCCCTTTTAATCACACACAGAAGATAAACAGATCTGACAATGTTAACGAGAAAATCAAATCCAATTATGATGGCAAACAAAGTAAAAAATACACATGCTGCTAAATGCTTTTTTTTTTTTTATGTCAAATTTAAACATTTATTTAGTCCAATGAATTAGGTTACACTCCTTGTTAAAGTATAATATTTGTTAACCACCGAATGATATTTATTAACTGCATGTACTTACTTTATGATTTAGAATGTTTGCTAGTTGCATGTAATTATGGGTAATTAAAGGTGCCATAGAGTGCATTGATTAAGTAAATTAATTTGTTCTCTAATATGTACAGAATTGGTAAGTGGCTTAGGTATGTGCAAAAATATGCTCACTTATAACTACAGAAATCACCCCTAGAATGACAATTTTGGTTTTGACTATTTTTTAAAACAATGAATATTAATGAGCTCTGCAGCTTGTGCTAGTGCATGCTCTTTCACTCTCTCGCTCTCTCAGACACAGACACACACTTCTAAAATACGCACTTGCAAAAAAATACTTAATTGGCAAAAAATATTTGAACAAAATAAGTTGATGCCTTGTCAAATGAGAATCGTTTCAACAGAAGTGAAGAGTTATAAGTTAGGAGCGAGTGAACTATATGTAGAGAGCTAAATATAACTGACAAAACGACCAGTAGAGATGTACAGTATTTAGAGTTGTATTTTAAAGCTTTTACATATGAAAAAAAACACATGCAGGAAACAATATCAACTTCCGCATGAACAGAAAGTAAAAGCTTTTGAAATTCCAAATTTTACAGTAAGAAATTAGTGATTTGACAAGATGTATCGAACACTTATACTTAGCAGTTTAGATTTGTTTGTTGCCTCAATAAAAACATATTTAGAAAATTTTACAGTATGCAAGTTAAAATATGCATTTAAACAGACATTATGCCTCTTTGGGGGGCACTGAATACATTTTCAAATACATTTTGAATCCATATATACCACATTTTGCAAGTGGTGAACAGATCATATGCATGAATGCCTGTTGTAATCTCACTAGTAAACATTGTTGCCAATTAAATGCAGCCTAAGGGATGCATACTGTATTAATGAACCCATGTGGATCGTACAAGTCTATTTGTTCCGATAGGCCTGTTTTTCACTTGGATTTTATACTCACGGGATTGACATGAGAACAACAAAACAATGATGTTTAAACCTCATAGTATGTGATTTCCAGCATCTGAAATCTTATTAGGCTATGCCTAGGTATATCTAGATTATCATTCTAGTCTACCTTTTATTTTAATTATTATAGTAAGTGAACTGAAAATGTAAAAATGACACTTAAAAAGCATTATTAATCATACAAAAATAAATATTAAATATATAATTAAAAATCTAATATAAATCAAATTCACTGATTAATCATTGCAAATAAAAATTAAACAAAGGAATGATGCCACTCTTACCAATCTCAATTTCAGCTGCTTCAGACCATCTCTCCTCCAAAATATTTGACACAGCACAGAGGTATGAACCAGCAACCTCTGCCCCAGCATTTTCTACCTAATCAAAGAAAACCAAAATAGGATTATTTTACATCTTTGATAAGTCAGTCAGTATAGTCAAAGCAAGCTGCCTGTGTTTTAAAGAAATTATAAGGTAAAGGTTATTGCACACTGATTCCAAAAGTTTTGTCCGAAATTTTCACACTTTAAAAAATAAATTCAACCTCAAAGATTCCACTGATTGCCTAAAATAAACTTTGCATTTCAGGATAATCCAGCACAGCTCTTTGATAAAGAGGAGAACTCTCCATCCTTTATACGCAATATTGGATGGACACAATATGTAGCCTATTCCTCTTTCTTTTTCTATTTTGAAGAAGAGAGAAAACAAAGCATCACCGCTTGAATTGACTCCGGAATGTTTTGTGTTCATTCAGAATGGATTAATTATTACGCATTGCACTCGAGGTTTGTGTACGTGACAATATTTTCAGATTTGGATGTGAAAAAAAAACCATAAGAAAATGTCAAACTTCAGTGTGCAAAGGCCTTAACTCAAACTAATTTGCATTAAATAATAAAAATAATAATATCATAGTAAAAGATCTAGTGACCTCATTCAGTTCAATTCATGTTTATTTTTATAGCGCTGTTACAATGTAGATGGTGTCAAAGCAGCTTAACACACAAGTTCTAGTAAACTGAAAAAGTTCAGTGTGGTTTAATTGTCACTGCTGTAAGTCCAAACACTAAAGAGCAAATCCATCAATGCGCAGCTCCACAAGTCCCAACCAAGCAAGCCAGTGGTTAGAGTGGCAAGGAACAAACTTCACCAATTGATAAATGAAGGAAAAAAACTATAGAGAGAAACCAGGCTCAGTTAAGCACAACCATTTCTGCTCTGGCCGAAAATTACCTTGAGTGTTTCTTTGGTCTCTTCAGTAAGGATGCGACCATTTCTGTACCACTGGTAGGTTGGTGCGGGCTTGCCCAACGCAGTGCATTTAAGAGTGAAAGTCTCCCCTGGTTTAACGGTTTGGCTTTTCGGGTGAATGACAACATGGGGTTCCCCTCTCCATGTGTTAGAAACACCTAAACACAAATAAGAAACTTTACAAGACAGAGTTTTTCAACTACAGTTTTAAAACTCTCACATCAGGTTAAATGTTAATTAGTCAATTACAGTAGTGGTGTGTACTACTACTGTGCTAGGTGTTTTCTCACCCCTACACCACTACGGTGTAGAGTTGTGAAAATATCAGCATTTAAACCTAACCACGAATGTGATGTTGGTTTTATACAGCAGGTTTTTTTTTTCTGTGAACACAAAAAAAGATATTATGAAACATGTTGTAAAACTGTAACTATTGACTTTCATTGTGTTTGTTTTCCAAGAATGTATGTTACAGGTTTCGTACAAGTTTCAAATGATCTTCTTTTGTCTTTAACAGAACAATACAACTCAAATTCAAACTTCCGGTAAGTCAAAGGTGAGTAAATGGAAGAATTTAAATTTTTAGGTAAATTATTCCTTTAAGGCATGTTCTTGCCTGCTGTATAAGATCAAAACACTATGCTGTTATTAAACACTATTTAGAAATAATTTATTTTCAGTACACATCCCTCATTTTAAATAACCATCAGTCTCAGCAGCTTTGCTTTACTGTAAAAAGCAATAAGCTAACTTTACTTTAAAAGAATAAACCAATTAAATATGTGTATAATTATAAGACATTAGGCCAACTTAACAGTTCTAAGTTACAAAGGGTTTACTACAAGTTCCTCAGTTACTCTCCCTTCATATATTCCAAACCTGGGGTGTGTTTCCCAAACAACGACGTAATTCATGGCTGAACTATCATAGTACGATACATCGTTTGGGAAAAGAACGATGTAGTGACGAGTGTTTCCCAAAAACTTGCTCTTGTTTTTAATATTAATTGAAATATAGGTAAATGGCACATATAGGGCCAAATTTTCCTTTACAAATATTATAAAGAACATTACATATTCTATTCTAAAACATAAAATCACTTACAAAAACCAACACACATTCTAACAATTTATAACAAATATAAATCATATATATAAATAAATAATGAGAAGATTTATTAAAAAAAAAATCTTATTTATTATTTATTAGGAAATGAAAAAAAACCTACTTTAATAATATTTATGATTATGATTATTATTATTATTAAGTAGGATATTGTTTATTTATTTTTTTTATTTTTTGAAAAGTCTACTTTTACAATGTGGCGACGCAGTGGCGCAGTAGGTAGTGTTGTCGCCTCACAGCAAAAAGATCGCTGGTTTGAGCCTCAGCTGGGTCGGTTTGTGTTTTTGTGTGGAGTTTGCATGTTCTCCCTGTGTTCTCGTGGGTTTCCTCCGGGTGCTCCGGTTTCCCCCACAGTCCAAAGACATGCACTACAGGTGAATTGGGTAGGCTAAATTGTCCGTAGTGTAAATGAGTGTGTATGGATGTTACCCAGAGATGGGTTTCATATGTTGGATAATTTGGCGGTTCACTCCGCTGTGGCGACCCCAGATTAATAAAGGGATTAAGCCAAAAAGAAATTGAATGAGTAAACTTTTACAATCTGACACATGTAAACCACTGCAGAAATATTCTAATCAAAAGGCCCATGTACAGTACAGACACTTAATAAATAACCCACTATAAATTAAAAGCATTAATGTATGCTATGTTTTTTGTTTTCACAAGCTTTGGCGATGTAACAAATTCCGCTTTTAAATAATGGTTCACTTATAGCTTTTGTCTTCAGCCACGGCTGTGTTCAAAATGACATCAATATTTTCAAAGTGCACTGCGAAGGGAGCGCAATTGTAAACATGAAGATCAGTAAAACTGAACTGTTTATTTTATCATTCCCAGTTTAAATGTTGGAATGTTTTAGATGAATAGGACAGAGGGGGGATAACAGGGAATAACAAACAGGTTCATTCAAGTGAAATTTTAGTAAATGGTGAGCAAATGTTCATATTTGGTAAACTATGCCTTTAAGTAAAGTAACTAATTATTTTTTTAAGTGTTACATTAACCTCTTTTTTATGCACATTTTAGGATATCCCATAAAAAATGTGAAACACCATAGAAACGGGCAAAACTATTAAGCTTAATAGAGTCGTATAATTTTTGCACATAAGCTACAATGAAACATGAATGAACACATGGAAACAGTGCTTTTTATGCAAATGTTTTAAGTAATATTTTAACTGTGTGCAATAAAAAATGCAACATTGGAGGGAAAAACAGCTACTATAAAGCACAGAATGAGATACAACAAAACCATGAAATTGAGGCAGCGCAGCAAATGGTCTAAATGGAAAGTACCTGCTTCATCTAAGATTCTCACTTTCACCCATTCGGTGAACTGATAGTTACAGTACAGGTCGCTCACTCTGCAAACATAATTTCCAGACCTCTGGAGACTGACGGTGAGCTCGGGTTCTGTCCCTCCTACCACCTGGAAAGATTAAACAGAATGTTATCTGGGTTTTATTTTACGAAATATCAATATTTTATATCTTTATTTTAATATTTAATTTTAAAAAGTATTCAAACCTCTGTCTGCTGTTTATCAAACCACTGATATTTCAGTGCACCAGTGCCTTTTGCTTGAACCCTTAAAGTTACCTCATGGTTTGGTGGTACACAAACAGGCAACGGCTGCTGAAGAATAACAACTTCTGACCACAAAAAAAGACAAGACATTCATTTAGATCTAGGTCGAAGACAAAAGGTGTTTTTCAAGCATAAAACCTTATTTGTTTTATGTGGCACTTTTGCTGTTTTATTTGTAGTTTAGAGTATTTACAAGCAAGTGTCCAATAATTGATTATTTAAAAAACTCTAAACTGTGTCTTGTTTTCAGCAGTGTTTGTAAAGTTAGTTCATGCAGACATAAAGAGAATGAGCGACAGCAGATTCGAAATGGTGATTTTATGGTCTTTTGTTTTATTCTTGAATGTTTATGATATATTAGGAAAACAATATCTATTTAGCGTTATTATTTTAATTTGAAAAGAAAAAAGAAAAAAGGTAGCTTTTTGAGCATCAAAACAAAATGTGCAATATCTACACAAATGTCTAATAAAGCTTTAAATGTTACTGTTTTCACCTAATATATCAGAATTCTTCCGGGATCAATTTCCGTTTTTGAGCAAACACTGTAATAATATTGACTATTTAGCATGGTTTACAAAAGACAATCTCTAAAATGTCAATCAAAGTAACAATAGTTTAGTTTAGATTTATTTTATATTAAATTTATTTATATTCAAAACAAGAATCATTTAATTACATATTAAAAGACGCTAATTATTTGTCTTGTTAAATATTTGTACTTTCCCCTAATCATTTAAAGCTTTTAATAAAAAACACACACATACACACACTCACACATACACACACACACAAACGATGGTTTGTTCTGTGGACTATCAAAAAAGGGGGGCTAATAATTTTGACCTTAAAAAGTTTTGTAAAATAATTAAAACTGCTTTTATTCTAGCCAAATAAAACAATTAAAACTTTCTCCAGAAGACAAAATTTTGTCAGACATATTCTGAAAATATCCTTGCTCTGTTAAACATAATTTGGGAAATATGTAAAAAAGAAAACAAATTCAAAGGGGGCTAATAATTCTGACTTCAACTGTATATGCTGAATAACACTGGAACATTATTTTACTCATATTTTCAACACAGAATCTATTTCAAACATTAAAGAAGATCCTTTACCTACATGTAATATACTTTCTATGCATATAAAATTACTTTTTTTAATTTAATTTCCACCAGACAAGAAAAAAAATAATTTCTTCCTTGTCCTAAAAAATAAACACATAAGGTCATAAGGTTAGTATAAAATACACACCCGTTCTCATGACTATCGTGCTACTCTTTAGTGTTGAAGGCCAAGACCTTTTAAGGTAGTCAGTCATTTCACAATTTTGTCACCTGGGTAAAAAGAAAACAGAAGTATTAATGGTGCCCATAACAACAAGAGCAGCATTCAAAATCAAAACAATGACACAAGGAGAAAAGTTTTCATCTGTCTGGCTGTCGACTGTCTACACAGAAACTATCCCAAGATTAATTATTAAAAGAACAAAATCTGCCGTGATTTAAGCAGTGTTTGTTTGTACAGTCACTTCATGCAGACCTATAAATGAAGTGAGAGTGACAGTAATTGAAATGACTGGGTTTGTGTTCAATGTAATGTTTACAAAACTTTTAAACACTATAGGAAAACTTTTGGTCTGTTATTTTAAATAAAGATTTAAAATAGGTTCATTACTCTTGGGCTTTAAATGTAATTTCAAAAATATAATTCTGCAAAAAAAAAACATTTCTGTTAAATATAAGTAATGCATTAGCTTAATGAATTATTTTTTTAATGAATACATCTAGTTCTTCAATACACACAAATTGGCACTTTTTTCTAACAATTTGTTTTTTCTGTATAGTGACACACATACCGTACATTAAATTGAATATATATTTTGAAATATTTTGTTTTATTTAACATTTATAGGATATTTACCAAAACCAATAAAAAAAATAAAAAAATAGTACACAATAATTTAGATTAACACCCCCTCCCCCCTAAAAAAGGGGGTTTGTTTCAGTTATCAAATATATATACATATATACACTGACCGCATAAACATATAAAAAAAGATGACAATATTCACATTTTTACAAAGTCAGAATCATGAATAGATTACAGATGAAATTTACAAACTTAAAATGCTAAAGTTTTAAGATAGGTCCCCGTATGGTTTCAGCATTCTCTGTGAAATTTCAAGACATAGTTTTTCCATTGAATGATATAAAGCAGCTCATTCAACTCTTATAACAGGGAGTCTTTCCAATTAAGTAAGATCATCTTTTTAGATGTAATCATGCCAAACATCAGGGCTTGCTGTTGGGTTAATGAAACGGGAAATATTTTACTTAATCTGGTTTTAGAGAAATGAAAGCGATGTAAAACTTTAAATTGAATACATATATAAAATATTTTAAATCACCCTCAAGTAGTTTAGAACCTTAATGAGCTTGATATAAAAAAGTCTTATTTTGTAAAACAAACTTCAAAGTGAGGTGTAAGTACAGGGCAAAGCTCCAAAACGTTTGTCAAGTGAATAAAAACAAATACATACAATGTTTACTTTCTATGTTTATTTGTAAAGACAGTTTCAGTATATTGATGCACAAACTGTACATGATTAAGCATAAGCTACTTACTTTTTAACAATTTGCTGTACACCCTTTGTACACAAGTCTAACTTCAAACCTTAAAGTGGTTAAAGCCTTCTGTAACAACTTCCCTGTTTGACAAGCAGTCTGGACTTGAGAGCATCTGCTTATTTATGTCGTCGTTCGTCAGCAGTTTAGATGTAACTTAGATGAAGAAGAAAGGTGTTTACACTCACCTGTCCTGCTGCTCATTGCTATATCAGTATGACTGAGATTTCTGACACTTTCTCTTCCAAAAGTTCGTCATGCACACTAGCACAGAGCGTCAATAGAATTGACGAGAAACATGCCGCGATTCTATCTGGCAGAAAAATGAATGGTTTCCTGTAATAATGCGAGCCTGCCCCTCCCCCTACCGCTGAGCTCAGAGTAGCTGCGCAATTCACTTCTGATATGCTCATACTGCTGTGTGTTGATTTTTTGTTTAATTTTATTTTCAGACATTTTTACATATGCATATGAAATCTATTTCTATATGAAGAACCAAGTGTCACTTCATTGATTGATTGATTGATTGATTGATTAATTGATTGATTGATTGATTGATTGATTGATTGATTAGATGCTTTTTTTTGCATTGTATAAGACACAATTAATTATTATTAAAATGGACAAATTCTGACTGAGGAAATGAGCTGGCTATTTTGTTATTTGCTATTTAGGCTTTAAGTTTTAACAGATTCCTAATTGTTTTTTTAAAGATGGATGATAATAAGTTAGCATTTAAATCGTTTTTTTTTCTTCTTCATATTTCTTTGTTCAAAATTGTTTATTTACATTATAAAATTGTATTATCGTAATGCACATTTGTAAATAAACATAATTTTTTTGTAAACATATACAACAATATACAACATTACTAAATTTTATACAACAGTTCTGTCTGGTTCTTGAACCTGATTGGCTGATAGCTGTGCGATATTCTGCTAGTAACAGCACTCATACTTGCCTCTTCACCCTTCACCTTTGTGTATTACTCCACCCACATACAGCAACAAGCAGGACACCCTACAGTTTGACAAATATTCCTGCTGTTAGGCGACATAAAAAAGTTTTGAGACATTTTTAGTGTATAATGTAGTTGTTTAGATTCCAACTATGCAGTTTATTTATAAGGAAAGTGCCTATTTTATAATATTTACAATTTCTGAGAGACAGCTTGTCAGGATGGTTGACGCTGTCTATCCACAAAATGGCGACAGGACCACATAATAAGCCTTTGAAAGATTAAAACTGTAATTTCTAACTGCAGCTGATCAAATCATTATTATACTGGTAAGTCGTTCTCTCTCTTTTGTATGTTGTAGTGCTGTATTTATACCCTATAACAGTAGTGTACTGAGTGTGAGATGGGACTCACATATCAGGAATATGTGTTGTGTTGGCAGAAAGAAAGAAGAAATGCCCATGTGTTTAGCGTTTTTCCTTATCGCAAACTCAATAGCAATCTGGTAGTGATTGCGCTGCTTTTTTCTGGGTTAATTATTGTGATATCCTGATTGACACAGGGAAATACTGTAGACTGTAATAGACTGTTATACTGTAAGGAGATATCTCTGTAGACAGATGGCATTTCATGTCACGTTCAGCCTTATAATCTCAAAATGTCAGCAAAATCACCTGTTTTCTCATCAATTTAGACATTATGCAAACAGCTCTAAAGTGACATTGGTGAATGAGTAACGGCTTCTGCTGTTCTGACATTGGCTGCAGATGTGAATGAATGCCGGAAGACAGTAGTTTCCAATATAAAGTAGTTTCCAGACACAATGCTGTCGATCTGTTGTATAAACGCAATATCACACTCGTAGCAGTGCGATATGGCAGTATATCAGCACAGGACTAAGGCATGCCTCCCACCAGTGCTGATATACAGCCATATCATACCGCTGAGATATTGCTCATATAATAAGCTCTTTGACAAATGTAAGAAATATTTGTGTTGCATCAAAAAGTGTGACAATGATAACAATCCAACAAGCTAAATTTAGTGCTAAAATGTCACTAAAATGCAGTATTTAAACATCATAATTTAATAGAAAATGAGATGATTAACTGCAAAAAGGTCCAATTTTGGAGAAAAAAGAACTGGCTGGCCACGGACATGATTATTGTAATTGGGTTTTTGGCAAATAAATACAATTAGTTACACTTAGTTATACAGTAGATGTTTAGTAAAAAAAATAAAATTTTCCACATTACTTCAAAAATAATCTTTCTTTCTTAATCTTTCTTAACTTTATTACTGTTTCATATCTTCCCTCTAATTTGTTATAATTTTATGTACCTTAAGCAATGCAAATGTAAAATAATAGTTTGTAGTGCTATCTTGTTAGATAATAATAAAAAAATGATAGCAATAATAATAGCAACATGAATAATAACAATAGTAATTTCCTATTTTTTTGAAAATGTGAAAATGTACTGTGGTATTAATAAGTGGCAGTAGACATATAATATGGTTACTGAAAACAACAAAAAACAAATATGACAAAAATATATACACACTTTATATTTCAAACATATGAAAAAAATATATATATATAAAATATAAGAAAGAAAGAAAGAAAGAAAGAAAGAAAGAAAGAAAGAAAGAAAGAAAGAAAGAAAAAAAGAAAGAAGTAATTAAAAATTTACTTCTGAGTAACAATAATTATATGTACAATGCACAGCATAATTGAGCACCCTATTTTAAAAATGAATTTTTTTATCCATTTCTCAATGAATATAGACAATGTATTTTGGTGCATTTAAACAAAACAGATTTATTAAACAGATATATTTGTTAAAATAATATTTTAGTCACCAACAAATGGTAACACAATACTTTTCTATAACATAAATTTGGGTGTAGTCATTTTTTTACCATTTTCAGGAGTTATTTTGTTAGATAAGCTCCAGATTTGGCTTCACTACTGACTAATCTAATGTATATGCACAAATATAATATTGTATAGCTTCCGATTAGAAATTTGAATTTAAAAGATCGATTTGTGAGGGGTGTACTTAAATATGCTGAGCACTGTATTTTAGAAAGTGGGTTAGGTTTAGGATGGGTTTTGTGATCCCATCACTTTATTATCACTTATTTCCTTTGGCCTATTCCTATATTCATCAGGTGTTGCCACAGTGGAATGAAACAGCAATCACTTTGGCATATTTTATATGTGGCGGATACCCCTCCAGTCGCAACCCAGCACTGAAAGTACATAAACTAATGAAACTCATTCACATACTGTACACACTCACATACTATGGGCAATTAGGTTTTCCTAGTTCACCTATTGAGCCTGGGCGCCATGGTGGTGCAGTAAGTAGCGCTCACAGTAAGAATATTGCTGGTTCGGGTCTGGGTTAGGCCAGTTGCATTTCTGTGAGGAGTTTGCATGTTCTCCCAGTGTTCATGTGGGTTTTTTCTTCAGGTGCTCCAGTTTCCCCCACAAGTTCCAAGGCATGTGCTATAGGTAAATTGGGTAAGCTAAATTATATTGCAGCTGGAAGGGCATGCGCTGCGTAAAACATATGCTGAATAAGTTGACGGTTCATTCCACGGTGGTGACCCTTGATAAATAAAGGGACTAAGCTGAAAAGAAAATGAATGACTGACCTATTCCACCTATGGATTATGAGGGAAACCCACGTGAACATGCCCAGCCGGGACACGAATCAGCAACCTTCTTGCTCACTTTATCATCACATGCAAATTCCCTCATGGGTAACAAATCTTGAAGCCCCCCCGAAGATCATTAAGGATCATGCAATGCCAATACATTTTTATTCGATTTGCATGGAGACTTTAGTGGTTACATCTCTGTTATTATTATTATTATTATTTGGGAGCATGCATGTCATCTCTTGTTTGAATGATGTGTGGTATGTTTGTGAGAGTGCTCGCTTGACAGCCTGTAACCGGAGCCCTTTTATGATTGGAAAATGATGCAATGACACATGAGCGGTGGGAGAGATTGTTGACTGTTATGGGGAGGCTGTACAGACAGAGTGACACAGAGTGGGCTGTCCTGATTAAACCAGGACCACGTTTTTGAGCTGGTCTGAAGAGTTGTCATCAAGGGCCACATGCATCAGATCACAGCACTTTGAGCAGATACACTAAACTGGATGCATTCGTTACATTGCTGTCCACAAAACTCTATATGACATGATCAGGCAGTCACAGACAGGATCTTGTGATCAAGGATGATTAGAAAATGATTTTTAATTGGGCCGGAAGTTTTTGCATGTTTTTCTTGGTTGCTGCTTTCAAGTGGCTTCAGAGCAATGGCTAGTTGTGGAAAATGTGATGTGCTCTTGCGCCTATTTGTAGCCTGCTATTAATAGGATCCTGCTGGTAACACATGCTCTGCTGTGATTGACAATTCTAGTGCTACTGGAACAGCAGACTCCAAAGAACAGGCAAAGAAACACACTCATGGTGAGTTCTTAAAGTTTAAAACTCTATATTATTTTGGAGCAATTTGAATTCAGGCAATGTATATATTGGCTCATAATCAGATATTAACGACTGTGTTTGATCAAATTAAAATTAATTAACAGAAGTTCCTATTTATAACTTGTAAATCTGTTCGAAGGGCTTGCTGAGACCGATCGGCCTCAAAACAGAATACAGTTCTTTTTAAACCATCGTTGCAAGTCAACACTAAGCAAACTAACAATAACACTTACTAGATATTCCTTTACTGTTTGTAAGATTAAAAAACAATTCCTAAACCAACTTTAGGTACTTTTCAAGATATTATATTTCGCTGTTCTTTCATGACTTGAAGTGCTTCTATTATCCTAATTTGTATCATGTGCTAAGTGACTTAATGACTAAATATCTGCGTATTAACATCGTTAATACCTCTTTCAAATGTTTGATTACTGTTTCTGTCCCTCTTTTTCAGTATAGCTCTCCGATTGGTTACCAAGTGGAACTCTACAATTTGTTTCCGAAAGCCTGGAGACAAAAGTTGATTTTATTCTACAGAAAATCCCACTTTAAGAGACTGGTGGGTTTTTTTGGACTGTTGAAGTTGTTTTGTTTCGGACAATGACATCCAGGAGGCCCATGACCCGCTCTTACTCTGGAAATGGGAGATCGGGAAACCAAAATGGGGAGGATGTCCCATCACCAAGCGGAAGGTCAGAGAGCCGAAACTACCTCTCTAATGTTAGGCCTGAAAACAGGTAAGAATAAAAAACAAATGTGTTTGTGTGAATTTTATGCCTATGATTAGGGAAACTACGGTTTTGTAACAGTTATCTATACTTTGAGTTTGGGTGTTGATTTTGATGTTGGAGATGGTTTAAAGATTAATGTGCTTTTAATAATATATTTGGGAAATTAATATATGAGTCATACACGAAAAGGTTTTTGAAACTATAAACGTGTAATACAGTTTAATTTTGTTGTCTATACAATAACATGTGTCAGTTTTGGCAGGCAAGAAATCTTACACTTAAGAAATTTTGTGTAACAATAGTTTACATACCAAAATATTTTAATGCATAAATTTGAATTACAGTAATTTGATGACATATTAAAAGATTATTTTACAGGATTACAGCCCCAAAATACGTTTGAAATTTAAGTCTTAATATTTTGCCATTGTCCAGAGTTGTTTTTAATAATTTTAGATACAATACAATTTAGTATGCACAAATATTCCTAATATATTTTACTACATACAGGTCAGAATACAGTGAGCATTTTGTTTTTATTTTCTAACCAAAATAATTATTTGTATGATGATGGAACATTTTTCACTCATACTGTAAGATTTAACTTTAACAAAATGTCTTCGAAACATTAAAATAAAGTATAACATATACAGTGCTCAGCAAATTTACAGTGCCGGCATGAAGAATTATTAGCCCTGCTGAATTATTAGCCCCCCTGTTTATTTTTTTCCCTAATATCTTTTAAACGGTTAGAAGATTTTTGTCAACACATTTCTAGACATAATAGTTTAATAACTCATTTCTAGTAACTGATTTATTTTATCTTTGCCATGATAACAGTACATAATATTTGACTAGATATTTTTCAAGACACTTCTATACAGCTTAAAGTGACATTTGAAGGTTTAACTAGGTTAATTTATTTAACTAGGCAGGTTAGGCAAGGCAAGGCAAGTTTATTTATATAGCACATTTCATACACAATGGCAATTCAAAGTGCTTTACATAAACAAGAATAAAAGAAACAAGTAAAATAAAAATAAAAACAAATAATAAAAATGCGTAAAAACAAAACAAAACATAAAAACAGGTAAAATGTGATATAAAAGAATGAAGAAGAAGAGAAAAACAAGATAGTGCAATCTGTCGGACGCAGCACAGTGCTCATTCAGTAAAGGCACAGCTAAACAGATGTGTTTTCAGTCTTGATTTGAATGTGCCTAATGTTGGAGCACATCTGATCATTTCTGGAAGCTGGTTAATTAGGCAAGTTTTTGTATAACGCTGGTTTGTTCTGTAGACGATTGAAAACAAATTAGCTTAAAGGGGCTAATAGTTTTGGCTTAAATGGTTTTTAAAAAAAATCTAAAACTGCTTTTTTTTCCTTTGCAAAATAAAACAAATAAGACTTTTTCCAGAAGAAAAAATATTATACTGTGAAAATTTCCTTGCTCTGTTAAACGTCATTTGGGAAATATTTGAAAAAAAAATCAAAGGGTGCTAATAATTCTGACTTTAATTTTAATTACACTCCTCACAAATCTATCTTTTAAATTATAAATATTTTAATAGTAAGCTATACAATATTAGAAACAAGCCAAATCTGGAGCTTATCTAACAAAATAACTTTCAAAACTGGTCCAAAAACTAGTACGTCCAAATGTATATGTCATAGAAAAATATTTTAAAAAGAGGGAAAAATCAAGCAAAGCAAAAAAAGTTGAAAAATTTAGTTAGAAATTTGCAGCATTTTGCTTGAATTTATTTATATTATCTTTTAATTTCTAAATATGTTTGGTGACCAAAATATTGTTTTTATAAATATATCTGTTTAATAATTCTGTTTTGTTTAAATGCACCAAAATACTTTGTCTATATTCACTGAGAAATTAATAAAAATATTCATTTTCACTCAGTTATGCTGAGCACTGTATATAAAGACAAAGCAGTACTAGTAAAAAGTACTAATATATTAAAACGTAAATGTTAATTAATATATATAACATAGACATACCAAACAACAGCAGGTTAACTATGTTTATAATTCATTTAACTGTTAAAAGCTATTATTTAGTAGGTTATTTGTAACTAACAAAGTTATGGTAAATAAAACCTTAACTTTTCTGAATTAAATTGTAATGCAATGATGTGCACCTTTTGTAAAGCTGCTTTGAAACTATAATTATTTTGAAAAGTGCTATAAAAATAATATTGAATAGAGATGAATTGAGCATCAATATTATTCAATTGAATTTAGAATATAAAGATCTTTTTTCATCAAAGGACATCATTTAAGCATGTAGTAATTTGAATACAACCCTAAAATCCAATTTTCATCAGTGTAATTTGTTTGTGGCTGATAAACTCTGATGTAACTGTGGTTGCCACATCTCTGATATTCTGTTTACTCAACTATGGTTGTTGCCAACAGAGACCACAACATGCACCTTTAGCAACAGCATTTATTGTACAGCATGACTGTATAACACATTCTGTGGCTGTGAATAAAATCAGGGTCACACAGTGAAAGATTAGATCTTGTTTGTTGAGTGTTGATTTGCTTCTTGTCTAAATAGCTTTTCAACTCACAGGTATTCAAACTACAGGCCGTCGAGGTAATAAAAGCATCCCAAAAGGTCAATCCTACTAACTACACTTCAAATAACAATTTCTATCCCCCAACATGCCTTATTTTCCTCCTTTGTTTGCTTTACCGTCTCTGAAATACCCAACTGTCGCAATTTGCATTTGTCTGAAGCGTAGTTATGACAACATTGTGTTTAATATGATTATTTTTAATCCTCCAGATCCCACCCAAATAACCACTGTAAATTGTACATGGAAAAGTGCAAGCTGTTAATATTATCAGGCTAAAATAATTTCCTCTCACCCTGTTAATACCATGCAGCCTTTCTTCCCAATAATTAAACTGTACTATTATAATGTACTACTGCTAAAAAATAATACACTTTTGTCTCAATGCAAAATCCTTGCTTTAGACGTGGCTTATTAATTTATTTTATATATTAATGACTGGAATAATTTGACATTTCTAGGATGAATTATATGTAGGTTGGTTGTTGAGTTGACACTCTTTATTTGCTATCTCCAGGAGTACCTTATGTACCGTCATGGCTCAGTTGACCGAAGAGACCCAGCCATGTTTTGAGACGACAATTAAATCGAAGGCAGTGTCAGAATCCTGCAATGTTAAATTCTCTTGTGTAGTCACAGGTGAGTTAAGATAGTTTAAGATTTGAATGTGAAAATAAATAGGTAAATATATTAAATTTAAGTTCATTTAAAATAAGTTTTATGTAATGGTTCAGTGTGTAAAATACAAGTTTAGATTAAAGTGCTTTTATTAAATAAAACTATAAAACATTTTTTGCTGAAATAAGTATTTTGTTGTTGTTGTTGTTGTTGTTTTCTATTTCTATTAAATAAGAGCAAATGTCTTTAATGTTGCACATTTTGACCAGGTTACCCGTGCCCTGAGCTGACCTGGTACAAAGATGACATGGAGTTAGATCGATATTGTGGTCTTCCCAAATATGAAATATTTCGCAATGGAAAAACTCACACACTCCACATCTACAAGTAAGTTGCCTAGTTCAATATATATTGTTTATCATTAAAATACTACAGTATTTTCCAAACTGTTTTTTTAACATTTTCTGTTTTTGTGTGTTTATTGTTGATTGTTTATTTTTGTTTCCACTTTTATAAATTTATATTATGTGGCCTTATATATAGAAAAAAATCATGCATGTAATTAAATATGGAAATATGTTTTGTAATTAAACCTATAGTGTAACTGTTGACCCATCTCTTACCCCTTAACCACCATTAAACCTATCCATAGCACCACATTTTACATTGTGATTTTTAATGTAAGTATCTACATTCTCAGAAATAAAGGTACCAAGCTGTCACTGGGGTGGTACCTTTTCAAAGGTACAAATTCGTATCTAAAAGATCCATATTAATACCTCTAGGGTACATATTAGTAAATAAAAAGTACAAAAGTGGTCCTCCTCTTAAAGTTTACCCAATATACCCTTTAAGTACAAGCGTGTACCTTTTGAAAAGGTACCACCATAGTGACAGCTCACGTACCTTTATTTCTTAAGAGTGCAGTATTTATTAATTTAATTTAATTAATTTAAAATAAAGTGGAACCCTTTTTCCCCTTTTTGAACTTTTGAGATTGTTCTAAGATTCTGAGCAAAGATTCTGAGCAACATTCTTTTACCAGCGCTGATTCTAACTAATTTTTTTTTTTTTTATCTTGACTTCTTTGTTTAAATGTAAGTTGTGCAAGCAGAAATTACAATATATCAACAATTACTATTTTTACAAAAACATATGTACACCTGCCTATAGACCTAGATTTACAAATAGTTACAAATTGTAATTCAGAATCATTTGTACAGTAATTTTCTCTTGTCGCAATCAGGGGTAGGTTTATGAATGGGGTAATACCAAGTTTGTTATAAACAGCTGACAAATGGCCAAAATCAGAGGCAAACTAGTGCTCGTTAATGTGAGCGACAGTCATGCAGTTTGAATTATCAAAGACATAATCAAAGAGAATCGCTGATGTGTCGCCAATGCCTGTGAAATGTTTGGCATGCTAAATATCTGGACCTGCTTGCTGTGTGAAAATAGTCCTGACTGAAAACTTATCAGTGATAATCTGCAGCCAGTGAGAGAGCGAGATGCAGGGCAGCCGGGTGTTAGGGGAGGCGTTATAGACCACAACATCAGAATCTGGATTCTTTTGCAAGAAAGGCTATTTTTGGACCCCAACAAAATGGAGGAAAGTTTTTCGGAAAAAAGAGCACCCATAGTATTTTAATGTTGTTTTTTTATGTAGCCTATCACAACAGGGTGCCATTTTCTGTGTTATGCGAAAACTCTGATGTCATTTGTGATCTTGTGCTATTTTTTATCAGTTCTCACATAAACTTGGTTGTGAAACCAGAGCCAGACAAAGCTGTTAAGATTCTTCTCATAGTAAAGTCATGGGTAACACTTCAGTTTACATCACAATTTCTAGCATTAACAAAGCACTAAGGCCCAATCCCAATTATATTTTTGTACCGCTGCCCCTTCCCCTTCCCCTTCCCCTTACAACCAAGAGTGAATGGGGAAGGGCTTCAAAATGTACTTTTATTTTAGTGTTTTTTTGTTGTTGTTTTTTTTTACCTGAACATGGTTATGAATATATTAAAACGTGCTTGTTTGTTGGAAAATTTGTAATAATGACAAAAAATTCAAATTTGTGGATCTCTTTACTTCCGGGTGCAGTAATTCTGCCATTGTGGGTGGTTGATGTATTCTGAGAAATTTTCTTAACCCTTGGTTTCGAGTGTGGTGCTGAAAAATCTTAATTCGAAGGGGTATTTACCCCTTCCCCTTAGCCCTATGGCTTTCAGCTAAAGAGAATTGGGAAACCCCTACCCCTTGACGTGGACGCGCAAATTGAGGGGTAGGGGTAAGGGGAAGGGATAAGGGGTAGAACTGGGACTGGGTCTAACTAACACTGATAGGTTAATAAACTACTAATTAGAGGTTTATTACACTGTAATACCTGATAAGTAAACTCAAACTGTTTGAGGAAATAGATTGCAGCAAAGCATTTAAGTTTTAATAAATGATTAAAAGATTAATCAAAAGATCTTTAAATGATTAAGATTTAAGTATCAAATGGTTTGAATACAATATATATATATATATATATATATATATATATATATATATATTGAATTAAATCCGAACAACTATATACTCTAGCTTCTCAAATGCTTTTGTATAGCTTCTAGCATTTAAGTTGAGTTAACACAAAAAAGTAGAATTAATTTTTTTTCAACTTTGACTCATTGTTGCAGTAGGCTAAAATAACTCCATAACCAAAACATCAAAAAATAATTGGGAAGTTTCTTACAGTAGTATTTCTTACAAACGCTACATGAGATCTGTTTCTTTCATGTCTGTCTCTGTGCTGTTTATCTGATGCAGCCGAGGCGGAGATTGAGGCATACTCTGACAGGCATGTGGAAATGGTGGGCGGTGACGACTAGTATTAAAGGCACAGGCAACAAAAACAGCTACATTGTGTTTAGAGCAGAAAATTAAACATCCTAAAAAGGTATAATAAATAATCTGATTGGTATTTTGTGCTGAAACTTTACAGACACATTCAGGAGACACAAAAGATTTATCTTAAATCTTAAAAAAGGGGTAAAAAAGGTGCCCTTTAATATTAGGCAAGTACTAAGCCAGTAGTAAATAGGATGAATTTTGACCTAAACTTAAGTGTTACCAAGTTATGCAGTGTGTAAAACTCCTGTCGCTGATCCATTGTGCAAAACAGTAGCGACTGAATGCTAACCGGATCGTGACTGTGATCCGACAACTTTAAAAACCATGCAGTGTGTACTCAGCATTAGGGAACCTTTTAAAAGATGTTACATTTTAGAATTAATTAAATTATATGAAGTCATCTGAATTATAGATACTTTTTGCCAATACATAAAAAATTATACTTAAATAATTTATTTTTGTTGTGAGATCAGGTTGGGTGTAAAACTACCTGTGGCTACTTGTGATGGACTAAGACTCTTAATGTCAGGTGTACTCTCACAAGGATTATATCTACATCTTCTTTATTCGGCAGCTGTACAGAAGAAGATGCTGCAATTTATCAGGCCTCAGCAAGAAACAGTAAAGGAATCGTCTCCTGTTCCGGGGTGCTCGAGGTGGGGACCATGAGCGAGTACTTGATCCACCAAAGGTTCTTCGCCAAACTGAAGCAGAAAGCTGAAAACAAGCGGCGAGAGATGGAAGAGAGTCGACGTCGTGGTAAGGAGAACATTCAGAAAGAACAACTAAACATTATTAACCAGGAGCGCTTGCTAAGGAATCGTAGGACTCCTGCCGAGAATGAACAGTCAAGCTCCTCTCCTACAACCCGGGACGAAGAGGAGAACGTGACATCCCAAGGGGTTGAAGAAGAACAGCCTGCAGTCAATGATAAAAATATCACACAACAGGCATCTGTAGGAACTACAGAGAAAACAGAGAATGGGGTTGAGAAACTCAACCACATCTGTGATCCAACGGAGTTGGCTGCCGCAAAGCAGTCTGCCAAAGAGAAACCGGGTGAAAAAAAGATGCGGATTACCAATGGATTTGATGAGGTGGGGATTGTTAGCCCCACCCAGAGCAACAGACAACAAGAGGATGGTTATGAAGGAATTAGCTTGGCAAAATACTTAACAGAGTCTGTGCAGTCACCAGCTAGTGAGGAACATCACAGTCCTGCACTCATGGAAGTTGATGTTGGTCCTATCAAAGACAAAGAACAAGAGCGAGAGCTTGAGAAAGAAAGGGAACGATTAAAAGAAGAGGAGAGGGAACGATCCAGAGAAACAAAGAAAGAGAGAGAGCGAGAGAAAGTCAGGCAAACTGAACAAGAACAAAAAGCATCTGCATCTACTTCATCAACCAAAGCAGCCTCAAACAAAGACCAAGAACCTCCACACAAGTCGGCTTTAACCTCGGTTTTTCACTCCTTAAAGGACATATTCTTTGGTAAAAGCAAGAAGTCCACAGAGTCATCTGAGTCTACAAGAAGAAGCAGCATTGATAAAGAAATTCCACATGGCAAACACCTTATTTCTTCAAAAACACCTTCTCAAGAGTCTTTAGTTCACAGTTTGGCCTCCAAACAAGAGGCATCAAAATTAATTGAAGAATCTTCTCAAATTAAGAACTTGGAAGTTAAAACAAATAGTTCGGACTACATAAAAAATGCACCAAAGTCAGTTGAGGAATCCTCCCAAATGGTAACCTTGGAAGTAAAATCAAATAGTTTGGCCGTAAAGCAAAATTCACCAAGTTTGGTTAAAGAATCCTTTCAAACAGCAGACCTGGAAGTAAAAACAAATTCTTTACCTCAAATGCAAGACTCAGCCATCCCCAATGATATCAAAAACTCCAAACCACCTGAGCATATTACTGAATTATCATTAAACACACCTGAGGCTGTGTCTTCCACCCCTGAAAAACATCCTGAGAACACTGAGGCAACACTTAGACTTTCTGTAGAGCAGAAGGAAATGCCTAAGGAGGACATTAGTCCAGAGGAAGTTGTGCAGATTTCACATTCGTCGCTTTTCAAGGTGAGTTTATTGCACTTCTCACTTTACAACCTGCCGGTTTTGTCCATCTGTAGCTCAGGGCTTCCTGCACCATAGCACATGGGGGCTATTTATAGAGAGTACATCTGTGCGACAAGACTTGAGTTTAATTACACCACTCCTTGGTCAAGATGATGACACAAACTATACCCCAGAGGACACAGTAGGCAGCTTCAAGATTGTTTGATCTTTAACTTTCTCTGGTAAAGACTAGGGAGTCAGCATTGTTCTTATTGATTGTTTTCTAAGCAAAAATTGCGAGTACACTGTTTGGGATATTGGACACAAATAGAGTGAGAGAGATCAGAGAAGAGTTCCTTTTTTGAATTTCTGTGGAATTTCATGACTTTTCATATTTACAAACTTCTTTTCCGTGTAACTGTTTAATGTGGTCTAAAAATTCTGGACTTAATGTTTACAACCTTTTCAAAAGACTGGAGACAATAAGATTTCTCAATTGTTTGTCTTGTTGGAAAACTGAATAAATTGACTGAATGTTCATTCAGTCAGGAAGGCTCTTAAAGTATGCCACAGCAACTGAAATGCGAGCTCCAGTGGACAGTAACAGCCCCGAATGAGGTGCAGATTTCCACATGAGGTTGTTATTGATTAGCAAATAATATATATTTTATAAACGTAAACATTAGGTGAGCAGGTTACATTGTAACTTCATGACCTAACAACACGCTACATGAAGATATTTGCAGTGATAAACTGTTTGGCTGTTTCACTAGAAGAAACACGACAGCAATTTAAATACAGTCATTCAGACGTACAGAATAACTTTACTGCACTGCTCTACAATAAAAAGGTAAGGTTTAAAATCAAACAAATACATATTAAACTCTTTAACATTATTATATGTAAATGATTGTTATTTGTTAATTTGGCTTGCACTGAGTCACAGTCCTAAAGTTCATTTAAAAAAATGTTTATTATAAAGGGTCACGAAACACCAAAACACATTTTTTGAGCTGTGGACAGTCGTACATGTGTCCCACACTGCTAAAAACACTATTAGGACACTATTAGAATATTTCACAAAAAATTTCATGCAAATTCGTACTTCTGGTTTAAAACGAATTTTTGAAACTGAGTCATGGCCATGAGATTTTAGCATGTATTCCAGCGTTTAGACTGGACAAATGTACCTGGGAGTACCGTATTACGTCTCTGAGTGTGTTGCATTGATTCATGAGGATGGCTTGATTCAAACCAATCAGCACGCTTTAATGTGTATGCGGTGCAACTTCATTAATATGCATGCTAGCTTCGAAGACTGGACCTGAAACAGTGTTCAGACGGCAGAGAGACGCCACATTGTGTTTCTAAAAGGAGTGGGAAAAGAATAAAAAATGCTTGGTCATCAGTGTTGCTTTTATAATGTGCTGCAGTCAAGGTTTATTTTACATTTTCTCTCTATGTGAGCGCTACTGGACTTACGTGTGGATCAGTGCATGCGACGCATGGCAGAAATACGTTTGTACGGAACATTTTTTATTTGAGAGCTTTTCTCATCTGGAAATGAAGAAATCCAGATTTGCTGCTCGTCTCCTTTAAAAAGTGTTTAAAGACAGACCAAGTCAAAATAATTGTCTAAGTACCTTAGTTTACATTAATATCACTACAATATTATGGACTGAAAGATCCGTTGCAAATGCTGCCCTCTGACTTTAAACACGAGAACACTGTAAGCAAACTATAGCCAACCGTCATGTTAAATTTTCGCCGAATTTTGTGACAGGATTGTCTACACACACACAGCTTTCTGACTTACCGAGTGCATCTGAGTTACCGAAAAATGCAGAGGTGTTTCATGTCCCTTTAAGATCTGAGGTGAACTGCTGCTGCTTTCAGCAGTATGGCAATAAATGTCAAGTAAAACGGCTTTCAAGCTCACATTATTAGCATTTAACACTGAATAAAGCAAAAGTTGAAGTTTATCCTGTTGTTCACCTGTAAGAAATAGATGTCATTTCTAAAATAGAAATTTCAGGTGTTGGTTAGAACAAAAAAGAAAAAGAAAATATTTATTCAATTGTGTGTCGTTGCTCTTTAGAAAATGGTTTAAAATTAAATCAGCCTTAAATATGCCTTTAGGCTCGATAGTTGTGTCAATCTGTCAACCTGCACTTGTGTTTGTTTTGATCCAGGAGTGCAATACCTAGTTCAATCACTGTGTGTCAAACGTACACACTGCAACTTTAAAGACAGGTTTAGTATTATGGATAGATTTAGTGGTGGGTAAAGAAATATGTTCAATTTAGTTACAGATGTAATCGTAATTACAATGTAATAACATGGTATTTTAGTTAATTTCTAACACTTAAAAAACAATTACATGATGAAAATGCAGAAAAGTTTGTTTTAGACATGCCATGCGGTTTCGGGTTTAAAGTTTCTATTTTGAGCTAAATCAAAAAAAATAGTGGAAAATGTTGAGTCTGTTATTGCCGACTCTTAAAATTAGCAACACAATCAAATGTTCCCTACCACATTTAATAAAATTACATTTATTATACTAATAATGGATTTAGTTTACTGTCAATTTTACAAATGAAAATCATCCACTTTTCTGGAAAATGTATGAAAAATGTTTGAAATTATCAATTTGATGGATAATCATGGGTGTATAAAATGAATAGTATTCTTAAAAGAAAACTGAGCACAAATTTTATCTGTGCACAGACTTTGTCTTACAGTATTTACGGCTATAGGAATTTTAAAAACCCCAACTAGGCAATCAATAATGTTTACAGTGAGCATGACTTGCTAAGACTAGCTGGATTTTCAACTAGAAGTGTTAGAGAATAAGGTTCCATGTGTCAGCAACATTTAAGAACAGAAGAATGCAGTAAGTCTTCATTATTCACCTTTTTAAAAAAAAGATTAACTACAGTAGTTATCTGAAAGGCAACATGAATGCTATGATATGAAATGATGACAATTTAGTGCCTTCAATGTACAAAAGTTTAATAAAAGTAGGAGGAAACTTTTTTGTCTAAATTTTATTAAGTTCTTTGTTATAGCCATATTGATTTTAAATGCATGTTAATGTTCAAGCAGTTCAGGAAATAATAAATGACAGTCATTGGGCACAAAAGACAAACTTAGAGACTAAAACATCTTTTCACATTTTTAACATTCTTTAGTTCCCTGCTTCTTAAAATAAACCTGCTTCTAGTGTATGCCATACATATCCTCATACCACACAGACAATGTCTACAGACTGCTAAATATGTATGCATTACGTCACAGAAACTAGCATCAGCTGATAGTTCTATAAGAGGCCCTTTCCTTTAGCCTACAGTTTTTCAAAATGTTTCTGTCACATTGCATTAGAGTACTTGTGTTTCTTCACAAACATGTTTACTTACATTGCAGGTAACTATAGCAAGTAGCTAAGCTTCTTCTTTGATAAGAATGTGCACATGGCAGAGGTTCAGTTAGCCTTCACATGATTTTAAAAATGCCATGGCTGAAGATTAGAGAGAAAATGAGGCTGCTGGAAAGGCATGCAGAACCCTAGCGATTGCATCATCGCGTAAATCCATACACAGCTAATGCTAATGATAAATTTACATTTGTTAGTCAACAGGGTGAATGTGTCACCTTTAATTTACCACGTGTTATTTACAGTGTCAGACAGGACAAAACATGTGATAGCTTCGCACCTGGCACGCAACACATTCAGCTGTTTTATTTCCTATGTAAAGTGGAAGTGCAACCACCAGCGTCTCGTGGGAAGTTAATGTTAGTTGTTGTGGTAAGTCAGTAAGAGGAACCCTGAAGGTTCAGCTGAACTCTGTGTCCTTTTTCACAGCACAGGATTTTCTGTTAAAAGAAAGCTGATGGAGGGCTGGTCTATATTTGTGACAAGCTTCTGTCTCAACTGAAATGTCACTTGGTTTTCATTTTAGCTGCTTGGCTGTTAGCTATATTAATCATAAAGGTATAAGAATGGTAACCAATAAGGTTATTGATCGAGTAAGTCAGATTTATTATTGGCATTTAAATGCTGTAGACTATATCAAATAAATATAGCTTAAGGTGGCTAATAATTTTGACCTTAAAATGGGTTTTAAAAAATTAAAAACTGCTTTTATTCTATAGCCAAAATAAAACAAAACTTTCTCCAGAAGTAAAAAATATTATCAGACATTCTGTATAAATTTCCTTGCTCTGTTAAACATGATTTGGGAAATATTTAAAAAAGAAAAACAAATTCAAAAGGGGGTTTAATAATTCTGAGGTCAGCTGTATATGTACATCTATGTTCAAATAGAATGGATATAATTATTTTTATATGTTCATATATGGCTGGTAAAATTTATGGTATATGGTAATTACAATGGTCGAATGTCAGTCTGTATATACTGTATATATTTATGCAACAGTTCTGTCTGGTTCTCAAAATTGGCTGATAGCCGAGCAATATTCTGCAATGACAGTACGCGTACCTCCTCCTCATCCTTCTGTGTTACTCTGCCCACATAGTGACAACAGATCAATAAACTCACTACAATTTGACAAAATATTATATAAATATATATTATATTATATAAATATATTGAGGCTTTTTAGGTGCTGTTTGTTTACAAGGATAGTGCCTATTTTAAATATTTATCATTTCTGAGATACAGCGCTATTAGCCTGTCATTGAGCAGACCAAAGACAGTTGATGTTGTCCATCCACAAAATGGTAAAAGAGAACGCATAATAAGCCCTTAGAGGAGAAAAGATCTGTGTATTTTCAATGAGCAAAATATTATAATACTGGTGAGTGACATTCTAAGTCAACCTCTCTCTTTTTTTGTTGCAGTGTACTTATACCATAGTAATTGTAGTGTGTTGAGTGTGAGTTTTGACTCACTTATCAAGAACGTATGTTTTATGTTTTATGACATTATGTTTTATGTTATGTTTTGTATAACCCTGAGTTACTTTTTGGTTGGCTATCTGTTTATTTCTAATAAGTCTCCTGTTTTCGTAACTGCAGACTAGTTCAGTTAAAAAAAAAAAAAAGAAAGAAGAAATACCCGCATGTGTTTAGCATTTTTCCTTATCCTAAACACAATGGTAATCCGGTAGTGATTGCGTTGTTTTGGCTTTTTCGGGGATATTATTGTGATATCCTGATTGCAACAGAGAAATACTGGGAAATCTCTCTAGACTGATGGCATTTCACGCTGTTCAGCCTTATAACCTTAAAATGTAAGCAAAATCTCCTGTTTTGTCATAACTTTAGATATTACGAGAATCATTCAAATACTAGCCCTAAAGTGACGTTGGTGAATTAGGAACGGTTTCTGCTGTTCTGACATCAGCTGTAGATGTGAATGAATGGTGGAAGACGATAGTTTCTCATACAAGGATTTTAGACTCTTCGTGTTCTTTTTTATATACACAATTATGCTGTCAAACTGTTGTATAAACACTATATGACACTCGTAGCAGTGTGATATGGCTGTGTATGGTCACTGGTGGGACACAACGCACACCTCTCACCAATGCCAATATACAGCCATATCCCACTGCTACTCATGTGATATTGCTCATATAATGTGTCATTAACCATTTGAATATATTTATTCAGTAATTTTCTTTTCAGCTTAGTCCCTTTATTAATCTGTGGTTGCATCAGTGGAATAAACTGCCAACTTATCCAGCATATGTTTTACACAAAGGATGCCCTTTCAGTCACAAAACAACACTGGGAAACACCCATATACTCTTGCATTCACACACATACACTACGGCCAATTTAGCTTATCCAATTCACCTATACCACATGAACAGAGGGAGAACATGTAAACTCCACACAGAAATGCCAACTGGCCCAGCCAGGTTCAAACCAGTGATCTTCTTGCTGTGAGGCGCTCATGCTACCCACTGCGCCACCGTGACGCCCCATTTGAATATATATCACTGCATAAATAAAACTGCTGCTACTGGTCTTTCACTTTAAGAAGGATACAAAAACGGTTTAATTTGTCATAAGAATGACAATATCACCACAGAAATATTGCCTCAATTTAGGAAGTTGTTTTACATTTATTTCACACTATTAAAGGATAAGTGTGTACAAGTGAATTTTGGCATCAATCTGTTTGTTTGAGGTGGGTTGATCATAACCAACCTAACTGCATTGGCTCACAACATGCATGTTATTTTTTTTTTTAATGGATACTTTATATATAAACAGTTGAAGTCAGAAATATTAGCCACCCAACCCCCAAACCCCCCTTGATGTGTGAATTTTGACAGTATGTCTGATAATATTTTTTATTCTAAAGAAAGTCTGATTTGTTTTATTTCTGCTAAAATAGAAGCAGTTTTTAAATTTGAAAAAACATTTTAAGGTCAAAATTGACCAAATTTCATATTGGTGGTTTAACTATTAACTGATAGAACAGTGTCAAGTACTGACAGCAAATTATGGGGAGCAAAGAGGACCTCGAGCCGGGAATCCACTTTACCACTAGGCTATTGGCAGCAAAGGTTAGAATGTTAATCATTGTGTAAAAAATTATCCTGCATATAATTCATTTGTTGTGCATAGCTGATATTTTAATTTGCCTAAATTTAAATAGCCTCAGTAATATTGAGTGTTTTCTGGAACATTACTAATATAGTTTTATGGTCATATCAGATGTCACTCATGCAGAGATGCAGGGGCCCTGACAGGTCATAAATATTATGTTGTTTTTTCTTTACGTGAAGAGAAAATTACACAATATTGATAGATTGAATGGACGATGTAATGTTTTATAAATCACATTTCAAACAAAAAACAAGTAAGCAAAGAAACCTGCAATATGTAAATATTAGTAGGGTTAAAGGGCCCCAAATATTAACTTTCATTAAAACAATTATAATAAATGTATTAATTTAATTAACTAACTAACCTATAATATTACACAAAAACAGTAATGCATGCCTAAAAGACAAACTTCAACTGTACAGTTTTTGCAGTGTGTTTAGTGTGATAAAGCCAATGTTACCTATTTAACAAGCAACTCTTTATGTCTCAAGGCTAAAGAAGACCAGGCTAAACCCAGCAGAACTGATGTTCCTGACTCTGTGGACTTGGCCAATCCTCCTTGTAGGACTGAATTGCAAGAATTTACCTATCCTGTGGATGAGGTCATGCAAGGTGCTGAGGAAATGAATATTGTAGAGAAGCAGGGGGCCCCGGCTGCCCCTCTGACAGACCTCATCATGGCAGACCTGGAAAGCATGCAGTGTTGTGAGAGCCAGCCAGAGTCTCAGCTTTCACAGCCTGCCGACACTGTCCCTACCCAAGTGCACATTGAGTCCCAGTCAGTGGAGTTGAGGGTAGAAGAGAGCAAAGAGCTGTGTGCGTCCAATGAAAAAGTAATTCTTCACATGGAGGAAAGTGTTATAAAAATGCCGGAGGAAGATTTCCTGAAAGAGAAAAAGGGGCATCAGGATAGTGCAATAGAACGGAAATCTTTTGCTGCAGGCAAAAATGAGATGGAAATCGGCTTTGGCTTGAAACAGTCCATCATTCCGGTAATTGTAGTGAGTGAAAGAGAATGTGAAATTAATGATCAAAATTCAGCACTGGGTCCAAGCCCAGTGTCAGCACTGGGTCTAAGTCAAGAAGTGGAATCTGTCACTCTTGTGTCTGACAGTGAAATGGAAATTGATTTGAAACCAGACGTAAAATCTATACCAGTACTAAATGTTAATTTAACAGAGGATAAAAAAGTTTCTGGCTCTACTACAGTGAATAATTTAAATCAGGAAGAAAACTTAAATGATAAAAGGATTTCAAATCAGAGTTCAAGTGCTGAAGAAAAGGGAAAAGATAATGTTGAGAAAAGCAATGAAAAAGAGAATGAGAAAAAGAACAATGTTATTGCTGAAAATCTTAAGGACGACTTCAGTCAACCAAAGAAAAATAATGTTAAGAAAACTAAGAATCTTGTTCAAGAGACAGAGGCAACTACTATAATCCCAGAGAAGGAAATCCCCAAAAGTCAAAAACGAGGTGATTCTGAGGTTACTGAAGCTCAGCTGAAGCCATACAAAGTAGAAACACCAAAAATCCAAAAGAAAATACAAGCCGAAAGACGTTTGACAGAGAAGGACCAATCAGCAGCACAACCGATCATAATACTTCCTGATACAAGAGAAACTGTTATCAAGAATGTAGCAAAGAAAAGATCCACACCACTTATCCCGGAAATCAAAGTCACATTGCCAGAAAGAGTCAAACGTGAAGAACCTGTTATTGCACCCCGATCTGAAATTCTGAAATTAGAGCCTGAAAGAGTTATGCAACCTTTAACGCAGGAGGTTGCACAGATATTCCGAGAAAGGGAAAGACCGATTGATGATGCAACCAGAACATCAGGAGAATCTGTCTCCAACAGTGCCTTAGTTATTTCAGATCATTTAGGTGTTATGAGAAACAATCAGTCCTCAACTTCCGGGGACAAAGTACAGGACATTAAACCACAAAGTCTAGAAGCAAGAGTGAGAGGTGGTGAAGAACAGGGAAGTTTCACCACTGGGATGGTGAGAGAGGAAGACAATAATATCCCTACAATCAATATAGCATGTGCTGATGATAACACTCTTGAACAAGACCAAACTCACAGCCAGTCTTTACTTCCTGGCATAGTAATCTCACAAGACATCACTCAAGGTACTCCCCCCATTTCTACAATAAATGCTGAAAGGAGTGGTGATTACAAAAAAGATGACTTTGACACTGTAGTTTCTATGCTGAAGAGCGAAAGCGATCAACATCGTCCAATTGCTGCTTCTGAGAAGCCAAAGGAGCAGCTCATGTCCCATTTGAGTATTACAAACCAAGATCTAGACAGAGTTCCTCAACCAAAAGACACAAGAGTAGACCCTGAAGCTGATAGGCTTCAAAAGGACAAACCTTCCATTGAGAAAATTAGCTTAACAGCACCTGTGGGACCTACACTCCCTCCTCTAAGTCCTGCCAGTTTGCGAAGGCTTATGGCAAAGAATAACCCAAACTTAGAGAATCAGGGCTCCGTCTCTGCTGCGTCAGTGGATGGAAGTGAGAAAAAAGGAGAAGAGAGTGGAGGAAGCACACCCACATCCACGTTATCTTGTGAAAGTAGCCCCAAGATGAAACGACGGGACAGTCTTACCCTGATACCCTCTGCCACTCCTGAGGAGCTGGCTTCTGGTGCTCGCCGCAAAATCTACCTTGCCAAAACCAAATCTGAGGATGAGGGATCTGACACACAGGGTAAAAGGGATAGTCCGTATATGTCACCCAGTCAGGCTCGAAGGGCGGCTTTCCTGCAACTTCAGAGTGGGCAACAAACACCTCCCACAGAAAGACGTTCACCACTGATGGCCCGTCGCAAGGCCACACTTGAAGTACCAAAACCCAAAGAGGAGATGGCTGAGGTGGCTGACAACACCAAGATAGAAAGCAAACCAGCAGAAAAGGAGAAGCTAGACCCCTTCAAAGGTAGCACATATATTTTTTAATGGTTGACTGTTCAAACATATTGATAAAGATATTTTAGTACAATTTATCCAGGGAGAACTTTAAATTGCACAAGAAGGAACTAATACCTTTCCACTGCGCTGTACTGTATAGTTTGGCATGGCTTGGTTCACTTCGAATTTTAGTTTGCATTTCCACTGCAGTTTACTGCTGCTTTAAGTGGGTTGGATTGTTGTTTACTGACGTGACATCATCAAAAACATGACATAAACAAATATGCGACACAAACTAACCGACAACACAGAGCCAATGTATGCCAATGGTTGGAATGGTGTTTTTGAGAATTGCCTGCTGCTATTTAAATATAGAGGTTGTAATAAAGTAAATGGCTTCTAGATCAGAAAGAGGAGGCATAGAACAGACAAACTTTTAATAACTTTAATAAATAGTTCACCAGCATAGACCACGCCACGCTTTGAGCTAGACTTTATTGTAGAGATGTAAGGATGAAAGGGATGGTAAGGGAACAGTGGGATGAAGGGGAAGAGAAGTAAGAAGATAAACAGAGAACAGGTACGTAGGTTGATTGGGCATCCTACGATGATGCTCAGAGACTCAGAGTTGAGTTACTGTCTTTGCAATATTTTGATAGGATAATTGAACCCCCCGATTCAACCTAGGAGGGAAGAGAGGGTTATAGGATTTTTAATGGAAAGCGTGGAAATAGAGGGAGGGTGGGTGGGTTTGAGAGAATAGGATGAACAGTGCTAGAGGGCTGGTCTGCCTTAAAGGGCCATGAAACCCCCTTGTTTCAGCAAGGTGTTTTCATGCCTCTACTTTGAAAAAAAGTCAGAAAAGTGGGCATGTCCAGCTCTGTTTAGGGGGTAGTGTTGGAGGAGCAAAAGTGGGATGATATGGGAGTGCCGATTTGGGCACGTGCTGAGTTTCAGAGTCAAAACACACACACACACACACACACACACACACACACACACACACACACACACACACACACACACACACATACAGAGGAGAAAGTGACTGTGTTGACTTGGACATCAGTAATCAAATTATTTGACAAATTATTTAATGGTGGACTTTAACTGCAGTTTGGCTCTTTCATTCAGGAATTTCATTCGTGCGCCTAATGACAAATGAGATATTTGATTCGAGGAGCTGCTCTAAGCGTGTATTTTTCATGCAATGTTCATACCGCACGCTGGATAAGAGAATAAAAACCTCTGCATTTCCCGGAAACTTACCGTACGTTCACACTGAAAGTGGCGAGAGCGTCAAAGTAGCCGGAAGTCATTCATTTTCAATGAGAGCCGGCGGCGAGGAGCAGCGCGGCGCGTCTTCGCCGGCGTGAGCGTCGAGGAGAGTTGAAATGAAGTCAACTTTATGGTAATGAGCTATGACGCGGTTCGGCGGCAAGCAATCAGAATGAAGACGTCCACCGCTTGATAGCAGTTCAGGGAACACAGACCTGTGAACTTTGGTTCTGACCACAGTTGTTCCCAAGGGTTTGATTATTGCGGTCGCCGGATTTCCAATTATTTAAAATGTTTTCTTACAGGAACATACATTAAATAAGTTACTGGCGAGTTACTGATGTTCATTAATGTAATATAAATTTATCTTTAAAAAGCGGGAATCTCACGCGATGTGACAGTACAAAACAGTACTGCTGCTTCAGGATATTTCAGACATATGGACACATATTGGATAAATAGAGCAAACCACACCACACGCAACTTGATCTTCCATTGTTGTATGAATTTGATAAGAAGTGCGCAACATTTTCACGCTAAAAACATGTCTTATGCAGGAATGTAACTGATGTGCTGCAACGGCCCCTTTAAGTACGAGATCAATGTAGCGAGTTTTGACGCTCTCGCCGCCGGAGCTGAAGGCAGACAGCGTTGTCGCCAGGGCGGCCAGAGCGACCTTGGACGCTCTCGCCGCTTTCGGTGTGAACGTACGGTTAGATGCACTCAGCAGGTAGCGTCAAAAAGCTGTGTGTGTTATTCCTGTCACAAAATGCGGCGAAAATCCTACACGACGGTAAAAGTTTGGTTGTGGTGTTAACATGTTAACACTTGGTGTAATAGTTGGTTCGATACCAACGAACTTTGCCATCTGAATAAACAAAGACCACTGGTCGCTCACTTACCAAATCTGTAGAGACAGGACAACCCACAGCAACTAGAACTGCGTCTTTATTAAGCTGAGCAGCAAATTCCGATCTCACCATTTGCAGATGAGAAAAGCTCTCGAGTAAACAATGTTCCTTAAACACGTAACGTTATTGTTGTCGCGCGTCGCGTGCACTGTATTCCACACGAGAGTCCAGCTCCGCTCTCATATAGAGTAAATGAAAACAAAACCTTCACTGCAGCAAATTATAAAAGCAACACTGCACGCTTGTTTTGCCAACACAACGTGGCATCTCTGCCGTCTTAACACTGTAACATTAATGAATATTAATGAAGTTGCACAATAGAGCGCGCTGATTGGTTTAAACCAAGCCTTAATTATGCATTAATGCAGAACACTCGGAGACGTAATATGTTATTACCAGGTACAGACGTCTAGTCTACATGCTGAAATACATTCTAAGATCTCATGGCCGTGACACGGCTTCAAAAATTTGTTTCAAACCGGAAGTACGAATTTGCTCGAAATAACGCAAAAACAACCGATTTTCACTTTTTGGTGAAATATATGTGTCCTAATAGTGTTTTTAGAAGTGTGGTACACATATACAACTGTTAACGGCTCAAAAAATGTGTTTTGGTTTTTCGTGATCCCTTATATAAGTTTTTAGGGTGTAGGTGATTGGTTAGAAAGACAAAGTGAGGCATGGTTCCACTGCCAAAACTTTGTTAACAAGCTAACTCCATATAAACACAAAAACAAATGGGCGTCAACAGGAGTCCATAAGCTTTCAAACTGAAAGCAAAACCAAACGCAAGCTCCAGGCCTGGTCATCTCTCATTTTCCTGTCTTCACTCCTCCTTTTACATTTGCTCCCCTGTGAGAATCTCGTGACAGAAGGTTTGCTGTCTTGTGTCACAAATCCAATAGCACTGGTAGTGATAATTTTCTGGGACCAATTGGTTATCAGCAGTGTGTATTAGTCACATTTAGGTAGTAGTACAGCACACTAGGAGCCTCGCCCAAGGTTGTACTAAAACATTATTATGTTCTAGTCTTGGAACACAGTAGAAAGTCCCCTAAAATGAGCCATACTGTACTGAACCGAACCACACCATATCATGCAACTGCCTCAAGACATATTATATAATACATAATATGCCAGTATAATAATGTGCTAGGATCAAGTCCCAGTCGAGCCCCCAAACTTATATTATGACTCAAATTGGAAACAAAATACAGCTGAGGGACATTTAACCCAGAATCATTCTGAAAACGTAGTCCCTTGGACGTTTCTGGAGACCGTGAAATACGCCCCGGTAGGTACGTATTTTAGCAGTTTTTGTTTTCGCCAATCCGCGAAAGGCCACTTTTTCGCATCTCAAATGTCTCTAGCGAGTGCCGTTCGTGCCCTCGCTGTTCTCGCCCACGCTGTTCTCACGTAAACCCACCAGAGGCCGCTGTCGACTGACTAAATGACTGAATGATTGACTGGGTGACCGGCCAATCGACTTACCCATCCTCCTCCTTCCCTAAACCCAACCAATTTTACCAATTGACTCGCCCACCCACTTACTTCGCTAAACTCAACCGACAGTTTACAAAAGCCGTTCAGAAAAAGCAGATTTGACCATATTCTCACTCTGTTATTCACGTCTTCATTTTATTTTTTGTTTTTGTCTTACCTGATTTCTGCAACCACTCTTCCCCGAACTCAAACCCGGTTGTCATCGTCGTGGTCAATCTCTGTGTCTCAAATTCGCTGAGGTACAAGACGAGCTAACTGGACAAACTGGTTGCAGTGGGAAAGCCAGGCCCGGATTGGCGAATCGGGAGGACTGGGAGAATTCCCGGTGGGCCGGTCCATTTTTTGGCTACGAGGGCCAGTGTCCCTAGCTGCTTGCACTCTCAGCAGTGGCACTTTTTTATTTATTTATTTATTTGACCATAGTCTCACTCTTTTTATTTATTATTTTGCCGCAGCTCCGCTCTTTTTATTTATTTTCTCGCAGCCCTGTGAGCAGAATGCAGTCTTCAGGTTAATGATGACAGTGCCACCTTAGTGAATATAAGAATTCAAATAATTAATATTAATGAATATTACACCTGCTCAATGAAAATCAGAAGATTCACTACATTAATAATTCTGACATAACTTGATCAGAAATCTAAAAAGGGGAGAAAAAGTTTAAACCTTTGATAAAAGTCCAGGTACCAGTACAATGCTTATTTTTTATTTCAAACGCACATGCATAACAGCGCTATTGTAGTATAGCGGTCAGCATGTTGCAGTATGACGCTGCTGTCCTGAGTTCAAACTCTTTTCAAAAAATTTTTTTTTTCATTTTCAGTGTTAGAACAATATATATATATATATATATATATATATATATATATATATATATATATATATATATATATATATATATATATATATATATATAATTTTATTTTTTTATTTTTTTATTTTTATTTTTTTTGTGACCACCGTTACAAAGGACTGGATATCTATACAAATTTTTGCACAGCATAAATATTCAGATATTGCAGGAAATATTTAGCTACCCTTTAATGTTCTCATTTATATAAAAAATTTGAAGTTCTAAAGAAGCTGTTTCCTTGAGAAACATGTGATAGTGTCATTACAAATTGGAAATGACGTTATTTTAATATAGTCAGTCATGAACTGAGGTGATACAACCAAATATGCAAGATTGAAAGCCCCCTAAGATTTTTTTTTTTTTATCAAGTCTTTATTCAATATCCTTAACTAATTGTGATTAATTTTAGGTACTATCATTCTGGTTACTTTCTAAGCAAGCGGTCTAATTTTACACTCTTCAGACATCTTTTTGAAATCAAGAGATAGGGGTTTGTTTGATAAAGGAGATGAGTAAAGTCTAGAGAGTACATATCTTAACCTTGTTGCCTCTGACAAGTCACCCCTGATCTTTTTTCCATTCAGCTCCTCAGGTTATCCGTAAGATTAGGGGAGAGCCCTTCTCAGATGCCTCAGGCCACTTGAAGCTGTGGTGCCAGTTTTTTAACATTCTTAGTGACTCCACTATCAAGTGGTACAGAGATGAAGAGGAAATTGTGGAGCTGGAAAGACGGTAAATTCCTCTGTTGTTATCCAACACTGTCTAAATGTTTAATTCTGTCAATTTACAATCCTAAAATGAAGAGAAAAGTAAAATGGAGGTTAAATGTTTATGGGTTAATCGACAGATCAGCCAGAGCTGGGAAAATCCTAATGTATTAACTCTACTTATAGGGTGAACATAAGTGTATGTATATATCTGATATCTAAAATTATATTTGATTATGATTTATATGATCTGACATTGTGCATTATCTGTCCTTCCGTGAGAGGCGATGAATGCTGTAAATATAAAAGTTATTAATAATATCGTCGACTGCTTCGTTGAGACTTGTCATTCACTTATTTGTATTCGACCATGAACCCCACAGCTGTGACTGGCGAGGCTTTAGTTAAACAGAGAGTACGTAACCCAACACTGCTCAATTGCACCATCAGGGGATATTAAAATCTAAATTTGTTTCACACAGTGCTGTATCAGCACAATGACGCCGTACTCACACGCATATGCCCTCAAATGTGTCGTCTGTGTGAGTGTTTGTAACACACTGCCCTCATGTGGCTGCAAGGAATTATAAGGTAGAAAGCAATGTTGTAAATGAATAGATGCTTTAAAATTAAATACATAAAGGTGTATAGAATTTTTATTGGATTGTTTTTGTTATATTATACTATTTATTGTTTAAGGTTATACAGGGTATATGCTACGAATAGGGTTATATGCTACGAAATTTCGTTCTGTGTATACGTACATGTGAATGACAATAAAGTAAAATATTATAACACATAAAAATGACAATAACATTGTACATTTAGTTAGCCTAAATTAAATGTAGATAGCTTGGGACCAAATGCTGTTTCCCCACAAATTTAATTAAAATGGCTACTTTAGGTTACACTTTATTTTAAGGTCTACTTGTTACAGTGTCTTACTTCATTTAACTACTGAGTAATATAAATTAATTGCATGTACTTACTATATTGTCAGGGTTAGAATGCAATTAGGTCTTGGGTTATCTGCATGTAACTACGCACAATTATAAACATGTGAACAAGAACACTTCAACATAAAGTGTAACTTGAATTTATTTATTGGATACAGCCCAAAATCACAAAAATAAAAAGTCAAAACATGATGACTGTTTTTTTTTTTAATTGTATTGTACATCAAAGTACATCTGTTTTTTTTTCTCTCTCTCTCTCTCAGTGCCGGAGACGAGGGGCCAGTAGCACTGGCCATAGTCCAGGCTTCCAGCAGAGACTGTGGAGTGTATGGCTGCTCAATCAAAAATGAATATGGGACTGACATCACTGATTACTTACTCAGCGCTGACAGTAATTTATAAATCTCTGGTTCATCAATAAGGATTGCTAAAAATTTATAAAAATGCTTAATATAATGTTTAATTTAAGTGGTTTTAATATGTTCATCTTCCCTCTGTTTTCTTTCGGGTAGTACTGGCAGAATTTTTCTTGAGGGAGGATTTAGAAGGTAAGACTTCTGAAGCAAATCTGTCTTTATTTAAAAATGTTTTTATTGTTATGGATTATACACACCAGTCACTTTATTATTATATTATATTATTATATTATTATACACTTAACTAGTACTAGGTTGGACCCCCATTTATTCAGAACTCCTTTAACTCTTTATAGTACTGATTTATGGGAAATATTCTTAAGGAAATCTGCTCCTTATTTACATGGTAGCATGTAGCATAGTCCATGATGTGAATCTCCCATTAAAACACATCCCAGAGGTGCTCTGGACTGAGATATTGTAACAGCAAAGTTTTGTTTAATGAACTCACTGCCATATATTATTCTGCTAGACTGTAAAAAGACATTAGTTGACTTCTTTTCCTCCTAGAAACTCATTGCCTTCTAATTATTAAGTATACAAACTGTGTGCATCATTATAAAAGTTAAGTTGAATTAAGTTGTCAATAGGTTTACTGACTTTTTTTAAGCAAATCACTTTGTTGCATTTAAGGTGTCAGGTTTACTCACTTTTTTAAAGTTAAGTAGCTAATCGCTTTTTTTCAGAGGCCATTAAATGATGAATTCATAGTGGTCAAGTTTTGACAAAGTTAGCAGCAGAAACAGTATAGCAATGCTCAGTTGGTCCTAAAGAGTCCAAAGAGTGCCAAAAATATCATTCATCCCCTCACACCACAACCATCAGTCTAAATTGTTAATACAAGAGAGTATGGATGAATGCTTTCATGTTGTTTACACTAAATGCTATGATTAGGCTTAAGTTACTAAATATAAAAAAACTAAAAATATTTTTTAGGGTAATTTTTAATGGAAATCTAATCATTTACTTCCATGTGTAATGTCAGTCCTTCTCTGATTAAGTAGGTATGACGGTGTGGGTGAAATATGCTTAGCCACTCCCCTCAAACAATTAGCTTGCTGTGAGTGAAATGTGAAAGGAAAAAAAAAACTGCCCCATACTCAATATTCAGTTTGAAAATGGCTCACCATTGCTTGAAATTGCTAAAATGAAACTTTAAGTTTACACAGACTTTCAAACATAGTGTTGTTAACCTACACTGAGTTTCTATATTTCTGTCTTCTCAGTTGGAGAAGAGATTGAGATGACACCAATGATGTTCACCAAAGGCCTGGCAGACTCGGGTTACTGGGGAGAAAAATTCTTTGGTCGTATCATGACAGAAGAGGTACAGATCGGAGAAGGATGTCTACACAAGACCTGCAGGGCAAAGGTCATCTACGGTTTGGACCCCATCTTTGAGTCGGGCAGCACATGCATCACTAAAGTCAGAAATCCCATCGCATACGGAGCCAAAGAGGAGAGCAACCTGACTGAGAGAAGTCTAGAGATCACCAAACAGGTTAGACTCAACTCAGTTTACATTATATGCAAACAAATCAATTGATAACAGATATTTGAGGAGATAGTATGAGATATTTCACAGCAATGTCTGAAGGAAAGTTGGAATTTATACTGTCAAGCTCCAAAAAGGACCATAAAAAGTATCATACAGTGCATCCGGAAAGTATTCATAGCGCTTCACCTTTTCCACATTTTTGTATGTTACAGCCTTATTCTAAAACGGATTCAATTCATTTATTTCCTCAAAAATCTACACACAATACACCATAATGACAATGTGAAAAAGATTTTAATTGTTGCAAATTTATTAAAAATAAAAAACCTGAAGTTCTAAGAACCATGAAGTTCACCTATGGTAAATTCAGTTGATTGGACATGATTTGAAAAGGCATACATCTGTCTATATAAAGTCCCAGGGTTGACGGTGCATGTCAAAGCACAAACCAAACATGAAGACAAAGGAATTGTCTGTAGACCTCAGAGAAAGGATTATCTCGAGGCACAAGACTGGGGAAGGTTACAGAAAAATTTCTGCTGCTCTGAAAGTTCCAATGAGCACAGTGGCCTCCATCATCCGTAAGTAAAAGATATTCGGAACCACCAGGACTCTTCCTAGAGCCGGCCATCTAAGCTGAGTGATCGGGGGAGAAGGGCCTTAGTCACGGAGGTGATCAATAACCCGATGGTCACTCTCTCTCAGCTTCAGCATTCTTCTGTGGAGAGAGGAGAAACTTACAGAAGGACAACCATCTGAGCAGCAGTACACCAATCAGGCCTGTATGGTAGAGTGGCCTGACGAATGCCACTCCCCACCTGGAAATTGCCAAAAGGCATCTGAAGGACTCTCAGATCATAAGAAACAAAATTCTCTGGTCTGATGAGGCTAAAATTGAACTCTTTGGAGTGAATGCCAGAAGTTTCGTTTGTAGAAAACCAGGCACCGCTCATCACCAGGCCTACAGTGAAGCATGGTGGTGGCAGCATCATGCTGTGGGGATGTTTTTCACCTGCTTTAGAGTGCTCTTGACCTCAGACTGGGAGACTCTTCCAGCAGGGCAATGACCCAAAGCACATCGCCAACATATTCACAACATTCACAACACAACAACATATTCACTCTACAGCAAAAGACTGGTTATTCACTGAAGCTATGCAGGGCTGAGCCTGGTCAGTACCTGGATGGGAGACCACATGTGAAAACTAGGTTGCTGTTGGAAGTGGTGTTAGAGGGGCCAGCAGGGCCCTGAAGTCAATAGGCGCCATCTTTCGGATTAGACGTTAAACCGAGGTCCTGACTCTCTGTGGTCATTAAAAATCCCATGGCACTTCTCGTAAAAGAGTAGGGGTGTAACCCCGTTGTCCTGGCCAAAGTCCCTCAATCGGCCCTTGCGATCATGGCCTTCCAATCATCCCCATTCATCGAATTGGCTCTATCACGGTCTCTTATCTCCACCAATAGCTGGTGTGTGGTTAGCGCACTGGCGCCGTTGTCCTGTGGCTGCCATCGCAACATCCAAGTGGATGCTGCACACTAGTGGTGATGTGGAGAGACCCCCCCTCATAATTGTGAAGCGCTTTGGGTGTATGGCCATACACAATAAATGCACTATATAAGTACACATTACATTACATATCAATGGAGGGGCTTCACAACAACTCGGTGAATGTCCTTGAGAGGCCTAGCCAGAGCCCAGACCTAAATCCTATTAAACTTCTCTGGAGAGATCTAAAAATACCCCCATCCCATCCAACTAGATGGAGCTTGAGAGGTACTGCAAAGAGGAATGAGCAAAAAATTGACAGGTGTGCCAAGCTTGTGGCATCATATTCAAAAAGACTTGAGGCTGTGACTGCTGCCAAAGGTGCATCAACAAAGTATTGAGCAAAGGCTGTGATGTGATTTTTCAGGTTTTTTATTTTTTATAAATTTGCAACCTTTTCAAAAAATCTTTCTTCACATTGTCATTATGGGGTATTCTGTGTAGAAGTTTGAGAAAAAAAAAGGATTTAACCCATTTTGGAATAAGGCTGTAACAAAAAAATGTGGAAAAAGTGAAGTGCTACGAATACTTTCCGGATGCACTATTATTATGTCAAGGTTTTGTATTATTTTCAAACTAAAACACAAAGTTACAGATTGTAATGTTATAAGAACATAATAAGGTTTGAATAAAAACATGAATAATATTTACCCATTGTTTAGTTTAATGATGTTGTTTCAAGCTACGTTTGTGTCAAGTACAGACAACCCCTGATAGCTTGTTATGTTAAATATTTAATTATTTTAATTTTCTTTCTTAAACCAATGGTAGGGTTTCTCTATATCTAAATGAATGTTGGATTGAAACAACCCAGCGTTTTTAGACTATGGAATTATACATGGAAAAAAATCACCCTGGGAACATTTTTACTTGCCTTTTTCTTTTTTCCAGAATTGTAAAATCCAGAATACCATTCGGGAGTACTGCAAAATATTTGCAGCTGAGGCAAGAGTGATCGAGAACTTTGGATTCTCACTGGAGTAAGTCACAGAATATAACATCTTATCAGAATATGAAATAATCCCAGCAGGCACAGGATGTCAACATGAAGCCAGATTGACTTTTTGTTTGGAAATGAAAATCGTGTTGACATCAGAACTCAATGTCAGGCTGAATTTTGTTTCTTTCCAACACAACCTAAAAACAACCAAATATCAACGTCTAATAATGTTACAGCTTGATGTTGTGTGGATGTTCCTACTATGACATCTATCAGACACTGGATTTTGGTTGCCATACCTGAAGAATAAATGTCAGTATTTGACGTCAATTTGACTTTGGTTTAAGATGTTGGCTTGACGTTGGATTTTGGTCACTGGTTAGATTTTGGTCTCCAACACAACCTAAAAATCAACCAAATATCAACATCATTTGATTTCGTTTTTAGATGTTAGAATAATATTGTCCTTTGATGCTGGCAACCTAAATCTAACCTATTATTAAAGTCTTATGATGTTTTGTGTCTGCTGGGTTGTCTCTAATATAGGTTTTTATTCATAAACAAGCTTATTCATTCATTTTCTTTTTGGCTTAGTCCATTTATTAATCCGCCGTTGCCACAGCGGAATGAACCGGCAACTTATTCAGCATATGTTTTACGCAGTGGATGCCCTTCCACCTGCAACCCATCTCTGGGAAACATTCATACACACTCATACACTACGGACAATTTAGCCTACCCAATTCACCTGTACTGCATGTCTTTGGACTGTGGGGAAAACTGGACCACCCGGGGAAAACCATGCAAACTCCACACAAAAATGCCAACTGACCCAGCAGAGGCTCAAAATAGCGACCTTCTTGATGTATGGGGACAGCACTTACTACTGCGCCACCGCGTCACCCATAAACAAACTATGTTATCATTTACTTACCCTCCATTGACTCTGTTTTTCCTTTTTTAAGGATATTCTGAACTTCCATAGTATTTTTTCCCTACTATGGATTTCAGTCGTCACCAAATTAATATATATATATATATATATATATATATATTTATTTATTTATTTATTTATTTTTTGGCATTCAACAAAAAATGACATTCATAAAGGATTTGAACTAGTAAATTAAATTTTTTTTTGTAACCACTAGTTTGGCTAGTGAAGCGTCCTTTCATCATGCTGAGGAATGTTTATTTGTAATGCATATAGCTGTGAATAATAGACTAATAAATGTCTAGGAATAACGTGATCTAAAGGTCTTCTTTACTCCTCTGAATAAACTTAGGGTGATTCCCCTTCATTTGATGTACCGGCCCGCCAATACAATTCCATATGCATCAGTAGAGAGTGACCTGAAGGGTGTGTATGTGAAATACAGTCTGATGGACAACGCCGGAAGACTGATTGCCAAAACAGCCTCTGAGGTGGAGCAGAAGTGTTGCACTTTCCAACACTGGATTCATCAGTGGACCAATGGAAACCTGCTGGTTACCCGGTTAGAAGGTAAAGAAATTATTTGCTCAACTAGCATTTAGTTGCTTTCTTTATTGCATATTTCTTTCTTTTTTTCTTTTTTTATTAATATATTTTGAGTTGCCATTATATATATATATATATATATATATTTTATTGTTTATTTATAGTTCTTATTTATTATTATCATTTCATAGCTGTCTTATTTTATTTGTTGTCTATTATTTCATTTTATAATTCTATTATCATTTTAGTTATTTATATATTACAACATTCCCAAAGTTAAGTATAATACGTCTTGTGTTTCAGGTGTCGATACAAAGATTACAAGCATTGAAATCGCCACTAAGTCTAAAGGGTTTGTATATTTAACTACACAAAATTGCTCATTTTTATTGTATTTCCTTGGAAAACTAACATTGCCATCCATGCTGCAGGTATCAAGGCCTCACTGATAAAGGATCTCCCAAAATCATCGATCAGTTCATTGCTCAACATCAGTGCAACTACTACTGTGGACTGCTGGGCCTCAGACCCTTAAAGCCGATAGATTCTCTCCAGCAGCCTAAAATCAAAACCTCCAGGAGCCCTCTACTGGCCCGAAGAGGAGTTACAGGCTCATCCAGCCCTCAGCTGCAGAAGAAAGGAACCAGCCCACAATCCACCAGAAAAGGCACGTCAAGCCCCAAAGTGGCTAAAAAGACTGGTGAAACTGGGGAGAACAATTCTACTAGCAAGCATAAAACAGTAGAGGTCCCAAAAACTGTCAGGATGAGGTAGAGAGAAACAAAATGCAAAACAAGGACATACTTTTGTTGATGTGTTAACCAAACTTTAGTTTGGAGTCTGTATAATTATCGAGAGCTACTGTAAATGGACTGTAAATGGATTCTGTCCATTGTCTTTGCACAAAATGAGACAACAAACGCAGAAGTATTATAGAAATGAGTTACAAGAAATGTACAAAAGCTGTCACTGGACAGGTGCCTTCTCAAAAGGCACACTTTTGTTCTTATTAGGAGGTATTAATTAATATATACACTAATTTGTACTTCTAGGTAACCAATATGGACCCTTTAGGTACAACAGTGTAGCGTTTGAAAGTGAAGGCTTTTGTGCTTCTGTGAGTGTGTAAACAGCAGTGTTGGGGCAAGTTACTTTTAAAGTGGATATATGGAAATATTGTGTTAAATAAAGTAACTAAAATGTTATACTTTGTTACTTTTAAGGAAAGTTATGTTACTTTTTTCATCTGGGTTAGACTTGCCTGTTTGTAATAATATAAAAAACTCATAAGTGTAGGTGAAATAAAGGTGAATAAACCTCAGGCTGATGAAAATGTAAATTTTACAGTGTAAGCACAGCTCAGACAAGCCTTTCAGTTGTGCTGTCTTCGTGCAGAGTCGCTATTCAGTTTGCTTTTCATAGTTTCTAACTGATTTAAGGGATACTGAATCTGTTTTTGTACCAGTGAGACAAATAAACAATTTCACATTTAAACTAGAACAAGCTGCGCACACAACACATCTCTTGATTTCTGTCAACTTGGTAAGAGCAGTCAGTCATGAAATGAGAAACAAAGTATCTGGGATTACTTTTTTGAAAAAATACTTTCTTGAAAATGAGAAAGTAATGCTTTACTAGTTACTTGAAAAAGTATTTGATTATGTAACTCATGTTACTTGTAATGTGTAAGCCCCAACACTGGTAAAGAAGTGAATGACTAGAGGTGTTCAGACTAATTTATTATTAACGTGAACTGCTTTGCAGCTTTAAGTCAATTAATATCTTCTAAGAACACTTTTTCTTTAGATAAGAACTGAATACATGCTACATCCCCTTTTAAGACTATAACTGGAGATAAATATAAAGCAGGACTCCCTGTTGAACAATGTTCTCAGATAGACTCTGAAACTTTGTTAGGGCTTATTCAAATGTTCCTCTGTCAAGTGTCTGTGGTGGAGGAACCATAAGAGAGAGAGACTCTTTTAAGGATTTGTCAAACATCTGTGATGTGATGTATCTGTTGCAGCTGTGTAGAAATGCAGCCTTTTTTGTAGCTTCACTGAGATGCTTTTTATAGTAGATTGTTCTGCTTTTAAGGGTACGGCCATAAATCTGCATCACCAGCACTCCAATCTTGATTGTATAAGAGCAAACTTTGAGCGTCATAATGACTGTGTCTTTGTTTTTATCTTACATGTGTCATCCAGAAGAGAGAAATTCATGAGCCTTATTATCGCGCGTAAAGATATTCACTGCTGGCCTTTCAGACTGTTTATGCGTCATCACTCTCTAGAACCCTTCAGTTTCACATCAGTGCATTACATGTATTTTAAATAATAATAAAAAAGTAAAAATCAATGTTTGCTGTACCATTTTTGCCATTGCAGCCTTTGTGGCAATAACGGAATTCATAAATAAAAATATGACCCAAATACACACACACAACTGTTAATGCTCTCAGTGTGTATAGATGTTTCTATTCATTCATTCATTCATTCATTTTCTATTCGGCTTAGTCCCTTAATTAATAAGGGGTTGCCACGGCAGAATGAATCGCCAACTAATCCAGCATATGTTTTATGCAGTGGATGCCCTTCCAGCTGCAACCAATCACTGGGAAACATCTATACATACTCATTCACACACATACACTACAGACAATTTCTTTGGACGTGGGGGAAAGCGGAGCACCCAGAGGAAACCCACGCGAACATGGGAAGAATATGCAAACTTCACAAGGCTCGAACCAGCGACCTTCTTGCTGTGAGGCGATAGTGCTACCCACTGCACCACCGTGACACCCATCAGATGTTTCTAAAATAGTTAAAATAATTGTCAAAAAAAACTATTTAGTAGCTACTATTTAACTATAGCCCCTTTCACACAGTGATAGCGGTACATATTCTGAAAATTCCAGACTTTACTGGTAAAAAAAAAAAAACACTGTTCACACAGAATTGTTCCAGGAAAGATCATTCACACATCCATGAAGCATCTGATGCAGAGCTTAAAGGTAAACAAATGGCGGTTTATCATAAGAATGTTATCGATATTGTTTTACACAGTTGGCATTAAGAAGGAACATTGAAACGTTAACTGACTGAAAAATATTCAAAGGTTTTGTTTTCATTAACAGCTAGGATGTGAATGCGTCTGAATGTTCTGATTGGCTGGAGTAGACGTCTTACGTCAGCGCATTTCAAACGTCAATGTGCTCTTTTCGTCAATTTTCCTTCTGAATTCACACAGAGCAGAATTCCAGCAAAAAATTTTTTTACAACTTCTCTTTCCAGAAAATTGCCTTAATGAATTTACCGGTATTTCAAAAAGGGCCTGTTCACACATGATACCTTTCCGGAAAATAATTTTCCAGGAAGGTTTTTATGTGTGAAAGAGCCTTATGTGTACATACTGTATACCAAAACCTACTAAGTAATGTATTTCAGATTCGCAAAAACGTACACAGCGTCCTTTAGTGGATTTGTCAACAAAACGAGTTACGAAGCTTACACGGGGCAATATATTTTATATTCCACAAAAATGTAGGCTGAGGGGTGTATATTTAATGAGACTGGGTTAAAATGTTTCATAGTTGAGTTGTTTGTCAATTCAATACTGCTGTTCAGCTGGTCAGTAAGGATAGTTTAGGGTTCCTAACACAACATAGTAAACAGATCTCAGTTGAGAGGAAGAACCAAGACAACAGCAGGTCAACCTGATGTATCATTAAAGTCAAAACACTTGAATGAATGAATGAATGAATGAATGAATGAATGAATGAATTACGAACGAACAAACACGAATGTAGAAGTACCAATGGATTAATAAAAGCAACTGATTAAACAAAATGAGGAGCAGAATGGTTTGACTTATTAAAAGTGCAGTAATTTCAGAGCTGTTGGTGTCAAGCATCCTGCCCATTTCTTTCCCTCATTGGACATTATTTATTTTTTGTAATGTATTTGTCACAGTCACCCAAGTTCCAGCCTGTGCAGATTGCTGGTATATACACTGATCGCTAAAAAAACTACAAATCAGTTGTTACATGGACTACAGATCCTGTCATGCATCACACACACACACACACCTGTTATGGATCTCATTTGATTACACTCACACAGCTGGGAGCTGTTTTAAGACGGATTAGTTGGACTATTTATACAGCACACAAACTTCTGTCTTTTTGTACAGTATTGTGAACATTATGACGTTTTTTCCTTGCCTTGTCTGGTCGTGTTTTTGACCGTCACCTTGTTTGTTTGTTTACGTTGCCTGCTGCCTGCCTGTACTGACTATCACCTGTATATTTGACTAGGACTCTGGATTTGCCTACATAGATCTATTTGCTCCAGATTGTGACCGTTGATTGCCTGACCATCTCTGTATAATAAACCCTGCATTTGGATCCTCACTCCTTGTTGTCAGTGTCAACTTCAGATTACAGAGTTAATCATAGGTTACAAGTTTGTACATTACTTAAAATATCACATTACTTAATCTAGCTGCATGTGTCAGTGATCTAGGCTTTGTCCATTTCTACAATTTTTTGTGTGTGAGATGGAGTGAAATGTTTTGGTTCTTTTAGTTTGATTTGCGGGATGGTTTGTAATAATCATACAAAAAATGAAAATGTATATTTATTCTAATAAATAATCTACTGAGCTTTTGTTGGTCTTGTTTTTAAAGCTAAATTGCTTAATTATCTTGTGACATTTGGCAAAATTAGCTTCAGGGAAATAACTTTTTTTAACTATTAACCAAATTGTGAATTACAGAGTGAACATTGTGATTATGAATTGGAAAAATTATGTAGAAAGCCTGGCCAAATATGTAACAAAAATATACCATTACTATTTCCACTATCTAAAAGAGTCTGAGAGGTCATGACAGAAGTTATTGGAGTGCCTGTTTTAATCATATTATAATTTTGCACACAAACAGCTGGCCTGAATCCTCCTTGTGATTAACTAATGTAAGAATCAGTATGGCTCTCCAAACACTTGCATATGCCCAGAGGCGTAAACAAAAGTCTTGCTTGAAAAACATTAACAGTTAGCGTCTCAATGAGTTTTATGGTTCATTTAATTAGCCTGCCCACGTCTGAAGAGCAAAAACATCTGTACATACGCATTGATGACTTCAATCAAACCTTGCGCTCATTTCAAGGTCTGTGAACCACTGAAGACAAACAACCAGACTGTAACTGAACATTTAACTGTGTGTTTCCTGTCATTGAGGAAAATGATGAGAAATGGTGCCTAAAAGAAAGATGAAACATGAACTGCACCCTCCAAAAAAGCATGTAACTTAGGCCCCGTTTACGTTTTAATTTTAAATAAGCGTTATAGAATGAAAAAGTTCCGCGTCCACATTAGCGTTTCACCCAGCGTTTCTGAACAACTCTACGTCTACACCACACCCCTGAAAACGCACACACACACACACTGGCTTGTGCTGCAGCATATCTACCCATATGAAAGCTGTGCTCGTCAAACTGCTCATCAAGAATCTACCGCTGGATCCAATCTCACTATATTTGTGTCACATCCCGGTTCGTTCTAGCTCACCCAATCATCATTCTTCTTCACAAATCATCCAATCCCATGAACTCTGACCAGAAAAAGATCTACTAGAACAGTGGTTCCCAACCTTTTTTTTGCCTGAGGCCCCCATTTCCCCAAAAAAATTGAATGATATTACCGTTTAAAAAAATTTTCAGTAGGCTTGGGTGGTATCCAAATTTTGATACAGTCAAACTTCCTCCCTATTTTACCTCAGTATCTGGTATTACTGTGCATAATTAAAAAAAAGTATGTTGAAAGGCTCAAACAGGGTCACCAGACTGTTGGCTTGTGCCTAAATGATTTAGAAAACTGAATACCGTATATGTGACCTTAGGTTTGCGGTCACCTGTTTGTCTTGTTCGTATTAGAGATCTTCGCAGGACGCTCTCCTGCGAGAAAGAGAGAGAGACAGAACCAAGCTACGCACAGTACCACACTCTCTCTCTTTCTTATTCACACACACACACACACAGAGAGAGCACCACACGGATGTGCGCACGTGCTCGCTCGCTCGGAAGTGATATTGTTAGACCGCGTGCCCGCCCCCTTTCAAATTACACCAGAGTTACCGACCACACTTTATTTAAATATTTCGTATTTACCACGTATTTACCTCATTCGTATTTACCACGATTCCTTTCTCGTTCTGTCAAAACCGGAAATACTGCCAAACTGCAGATCACTTAGTGGACAACTCGCCACCACACCTCTCTCTCTCTGTATTCCACACTTTCTCTAGATGACAATCGCACATATGCATTTGAAGGCATTAAATAAATAATATTTATTATTTAATACTTTTTCTCCTATTTAAGTGCATTGTTTTTTATGATGGTATAACTGTATTGAAACTGACACTGTTGCAATTTTTTAGATCCCGCAGTATACCATATTACTGCCCAAGCCTAGTTTGCAGTAATGATGACAAAAAATGTTTTTTTCAAATAAACAATATGTTTATTACTATATGTAGATATGTTTATGCACAAATAATAGCCTAATGTAAAGTATAAAGCAAAACATCAGTAGGCCATTTGTAACTGAAAAACGAAAGCCTTTGGCCTTTAAATTGGCCCTATTTGAAATTCAATAACAAAAATATCAGTATTCACACTGGTGTATAAGGTGTATAAGCCGCGCACCTCCATTGAAAACAACAAACTTGTGCAAACTCTAGAAATACGCGATATGCGAACAGCCCCTAAAAGGCCGCCGTCATTTGTGATCTCCATCAGTTGATCTTCTTGCACAGATATGCTGGGTTCACCTGATTTGTTGACAAATGGGTTGCAGATCCATTCCTTGGCAGTTCCTTCACTTGGCCTTATTTCCTTGGCAAAGAAACTTTCCAAAGACGTCTGTTTCTTACTCATTTTGCTGCTTTAGGGTTAAATTTGGGCGCTAAAGTGACTGAGAGCGAGAGAATACGGTAATTTTTTTGAATAAAAGACTTTTCAAAATAAAAGATTGTTCAGACTCAAATAATATTTAAATGGAAATAATTATTGATTTATCATGCAGCCTGGTATCAATTGATCCACGGACCAATGAGCTAGTGGGTGCCATCAAACTGGCACTCAAAGAATGGCGACATTGGCTGGAAGGAGCCCAACATCCTTTTACTGTCACCACGGATCATAAGAACCTCCAATAACTTTGAGATGCCAAACACCTCAATGCCCGCCAAGCTCGCTGGTCCTTATTCTTTGCACGATTCAACTATAGCATCACCTATAAACCTGGCCAAATAAACGTGAAAGCTGATGCTCTCTCTCGGATGCACTCTCCTAATCC